GGGGTCTAGAAATGGAAGGGAAAATGGAATCTTGGAGCTCCCCCAAGGGAGAGAAACGCTGGAGGCCCGGACATTGGCGCAGGGGACGCGGCTTGGAGATGGTAGTCGGGGCAGTGACCCAGAAGCTCATCTGCTCCAGGAAAGTTGGGAGGAGGGAACAGGAAAAGTCCACAGGGTTCCCTTACATACTACGGCACTCCCTCACGAGGGGATTTCTCTAGAAGAGTGGCGCCGCGCAGGCGATCGACTGCGTCCTCCGCGTCCCCCAAGGAGGGGAGGGGGCGGGGATGGAGGGGGCTAGAGAGCCGCTCCCGCCTCCTAGTGGCCAGGAAATGGTTAAGTCGGCAAGCCAGCAAGCGAGGGAGGAGCCAGCGGGTGCGGGAAGGGGTGGGGGTGGTTAGAAAGAGCTTCCTCGCTGTCCCCACACTCCCTCGGCGAGCAGCCCGGGCGCACGGACTGCCGGACTGCCGGACTCCCGGACTCCCGCGCGGACCGCGCTGCTGGGGGGCGCGGGCACTGGGTGTTGACTGCCAGCCCCAGCCCTCCCCGCCCCGTCGCGCCCCGCCCCGTCCCGTCGGGGCCCATGGCTCCTCCCGGAGTCCGCAGCCCGGGGGGCGCAGGGTAGAGCGCCGCTGCCCGGCCGCGAAGCCCGGGGACTCCCGGGCCCTCCCGGAGCCCCGCGGGGGCCCCGCCGTGCGTCCGGCGGGCTCAGGGAGCGAGTGGGAGCGCCCTCCCCCCGCCGCCCCCTCCCCCGAGCGTCGAGACAAGATGCTGCCCGGGCTCAGGCGCCTGCTGCAAGGTAAGGACCCGGGGCCGGCGGGAGAGCCGAGGGCATCCTGGGGAGGGGAGCTGGGCGCCCCTTCTCCCAGGGCTTGAGGGTGGGGCAGCTGAGGGGGTGGGGTAGTTTGGAGGTGGGGAAAAAGCTCAGCGCTGGGGCCGCGCCCCGGCCCCCAGGGCTGCTCTCAGGAGGACACCTGGCTTGGAGCCTGCCGGGGTGTGCGGGGAGCTCGTGACCGAGGGGGGACGCAGGGGCGGGCGGACCCGGCCGGGAACGGGGAGGGAGGCTCAGGTTCCGCTGCCCCGGCTCCACCTGCTCCAGGGGACGCTGAGGACTCGGGCCGGCTGGGGAAGCGCCGACTCAGCAACTCCTCGTGCCCGGTGCCTCAGCACTTTCAAGCCACCTGGGAGGACAGGGGGTGTGGGTAGGGGGCTGTCTGGGAGGGTAGGGGGCGCAGAGGGAAATCCAAACGGCCCTCGTTGGTAAGGCAGATGGAGGGCGCTAGAAAGAGGATAGTTCCACGGACTGAGTGACAGGCAAGGGTGTGGGCCAGAGACTGGGGGTGGGGTGGGGAAGGGGTCGGAGGGAGGGGGATAGGAAGGGGAGTAAAAGATGGAGAAAGTGGTTAGGGCAGCAGAGAGGAGAGGGGAGATGGGAGAAGGAGGGGGAGGAGAAGGAGGAAGACTGGGAGGAGGAGGAATAAAGGTTAGGTGGAAGAAGAGTGAGCAGGGAAGTGGGACCTAGGTGAAGACCAAGGAAGGGGAGAGGCGTCCAGAGCAGGGAAGGGGTGGAGAGAAGCCTAGGGACCGGGACCCAGAGAATGGAGGACTGGGACCCTGGGCACTGGGATAAAAAAGGGGACTGGGAAGATGAGAAACCAGAGAAGGATGGCAATGGTGGATGGAGGTGGAGTGCCAGCCACAGGGGAGGAGGGCCAAGGATGGGCACCGAGGTTGAGGAAGGGGGGCCACTGGCGGGAGGGGCTGGGGTGGACGGGTTGGGGAAGGGGCTGCAGAGGAGGGAGGAAGAGAAAGGCTGGGAGAGAGGGCCTGGGGGTGCTGCCCAGGGATGAGACAAAGAGGCTTCTGGTAACCACTCCACGTGGGAAGCCCTCCATTCCCAGAGAGCCTGCCTGTCATAGCCCTTCACTCGGGTGCGGGTGCGGCTGGTGGGCCAGACGGGGGCTCTGAGCTTAGGACCTTGAGAGTGGCTTCGAGGGAGAGTGAGGACTTTCGAGTGGGGTGGCAGCCTCCGAGGGTGGGCAACCTGGCTGGCTCTGTGCTGCCATTTATATCTCCAGCCCCTTGGATCCTGCCGCCGCCGCCACCACCACCACCACCACCATGGTGGCTGCTTATTTTGGGGTGTTACATTCTGGCAGAGTGAGAAGCTGTTTGCAGCAGCTCTAAACCCCCGTCACCCGCGTCAGTGCCTCCCCAGGCCCCTGCGTCACTGGCATCACCACCACCTCCATCCCACTCCTCAGGTCCCACCTCCTCAGCCCCTGCCCCCTCAGCATCTGCCCGCAGGCCCCAGCCCTTCCCTGAAGCCTGCTGCTGGGTGTGGAGCTGTTGCTTCTCATCTCGGACCCTGCGCCCACCCATCCTTCCAGAGCCAGAGGCCTCAGCTCCTTTTCCAGGGAACACGCTTTCCTTCGAACACTCTGCACCAGCAACTCTGCCCTGTGGGTTGGGACCCTGGTTCCTGCTGTCTACCCTGGAGTCCAGTTGCCTCCTCCTTAAGTCCCTTCTTCCACAGGGGCCTCTGGCCTAAAGAGTGGCTACTGGGGTGAGAACTTTGTTTCCAAGCTTTGACACTCCAAGGTTTGACAGCCTGGAGTCCTTGACAATGGCCCCTGGTGAATAGAGACTTTTGGCTCTGGGCAGGTCAGCCTCCCAGATCAACACCCTGATCTGGCCTCTGTCTGCTCCCTCCCCTGTCAGTTCTGGTCATATCTTCTGGATGCTGGTCATCTCCTCTTGACCCCCAAATCCAGCCACTACTCCGGAGCAACCACAACTTGAAGCCAGGAGATGAAAGTCGCAGGGAGAGCCCAAGTTCCTTCCTTACCTTGACCCTGAACAACCAAGCAGACCCAGCACTGTGGCTGGCCCAGCCGTAGGCACGTGGGTGCAATTTCTGTCCTCCCTTTACCTCAAGGGCAGCGTCTTTCACATTCAGGGTTGTTCCGTGCATGCTGTGCAGGCCTCCCAAAGAAAGGTCAGAGCGTCCCTTCTGACATGGGCTCACCACCCCTCCTTTCCAACCTGGGTTCCACCTTGAACTAGCTGCCTGTCCTGAGGCAACTTATTTCATGTTTCTGGGCCTCCCTTCACCTGCAAACGGGGAGCCATAGTATTGATTTCCCAGGCGGTATGCTATGTTGTATTCTATGGTTAAAGAAGTTAACATGTACAAATGCAGTGCCTGGCACTCAGTAGGTGCTTAGTAACAGATGGCTTCCTCCATGCCCTTCTCTACACTCCCCTATAACTCTAGCCGTCTCCTGCTGACTTCAGAGGAGGGGTGAGCAGAGAGGGTGGGGGAAGCTGCTACAGAGGGCTCCCCTCTGCCCATAACCGTGGAGGGATGAAAGGAAGGCTTCCCAGAAAGACACTGAGGGCAGCAGACTCAAGACCAGAGTCAGGAGGCCTGGGCTGCTGGCTCAGCCCTCAGTGGTGCTACCTGTGAAATGAGGTGAAATGCTCCCAGGTGGCTGCTGTATCCCCAGTTCCAGCTCTGCCACTCTGTGCATCTTGCCCACCCCCCTAGGAGGGATTCACAAAACGAGGACCAGGAGTAGAGCTGTGGTCCTGGGGAGGGAGAGGAGAGACAGGCCTGGGGGAAGGGGTGGTAAAGAGGGTGAGAAGCAGGGGGTGGGGAGAGGACTCCTGAGAAGGAAAAGGGGATGTGCTGGCCAGGGCAAGGAAGAAGGCAGGGGAGGGAGGGAAAGGCGCAGCGCCAGGCCTGCGGCCTCTGTCCCGGAGTGCTCCCTGCTCACGGAGTGCTCCCTGCTCACGCCAGCCCCAGTGGGCCTGGGGGCAGAGAAACCCAGAGCCCCTCACTTTCCCCTCCTCCTCGCCTCCAGTGAGAGCTGCAGCCTGAATTATGGATGAGGCTCCTTGGGTTACAGCTGCTTTGCACGGCGTGGTGGCGAGGGCCAGAAATGGCAACAGAGTCACTGTTACGCAGCAGCTGTCACGCAGGGGCCCCCAGCTCAGGGTCCCTCCTCACGACGGGGGCCTGCTGGGAGCACCATCCTGCGCTGGGGTGGGTGTGCCATGGCTGGGGGGTGGGGGGTGGGGAGAGATGGGGACACGAGGGAGGGGTGTCGGGAAAGAGGGAAGAGTGGTCAGATGTGGGCAGGTGGGTAAGAAGGGTGAGTAGGGCCTTTGCCAGCCCCCGCTGAGCTTGGGGGTGGAGTGGCCCCTGACTCTGGGGCTCTCTGGGATTGTGCATCCTCCCCTCCGTCTCTCCTGGGGCGGCAGCCGTCCTGGAGGCTGGAGGAAGAGCTCCGTAATCCTCCAGAGGGCTGGCGGCCATCAGAGCCCACACTCCTGCGAGCTTGTGGATAACGGTGGGATTAAGGGATCAGAGGAGGATTTGGCTTCTTTTGGTGTCAAGTCCTTGGGGAGGTGGGGCTCAGAGGGTGACTCTGACAGGAAGGGAAGTGCCCTGGCTGGACATCAGGAGATTCTTCCCTGGTCCTTGCCCTGCCACCACTCTGCTGTGTAACCTTGGGCAAGTTGCTTGCCCTCTCTGAGCCCCAGTTGCCACCTCAGTAGAATAAGATGCACCCAGTGGACCTTTCCAGCTCTGAAGTCTCCAGTTCTAAGCCGCAAACCTCAGCCCTCATGAAACCCACCCAGGACCCCCCACTGTGCTCCCGCACCCCACCTCTTCCGGGTTCAGATGAGGGGTGAGAGACATGCTCCTCCACCCCACGTGGCTCTGAAAAACTCAGGAGGAGAAAGTAATCGTGAAACGCTGCACGGGGGAGGGGTGAGAAGGGCCGAGAAACGCGGAGGTGGTGTGAACGAATGGAACAGCAGCCGCTGTGTCACCGAGTATTACATCACACCCAGCCTACACACGCACGGGGCCCGGCACTCACACACACGCGGAGGACGGCCAGCACACGCTTGCACGCACCGCACTGGCGCAGCGTGGGGGGGGCGGGGACACTGGCGGTGGGGCGGGGCGTGGGGTCCCCCACCCTGTACCTGTGTGTCCCCCTCTCTGGAGGCAGCACATGGGAGAGCCTGGGATGCCAACCCCACGCCCGGGGCCTGCGGTGCCGTGTGCGTGCACCTGGCCCGGCAGTGCTTCATGTGGCCAGCACCTGGCTCACGCCGTTACCCCCAGTCGCACACACAGACCCACATTCACACACACGGCAACTTCAGGAGCACGAGACACTACACACAAAACAGCCACCTAAGCATGTGCGACTCGCAGCCTTGGGGACCCCACACTCAAAATCTCTGACCCCTCGGTCTCTCCAGGGGTCTCTGAGCCACAGGGAAGCCCAGGCTCTCCGGGTCCAGGAACCAGGTTTTCTCCTCCTCTGCCTTCAAAGGCCTCGTAGGTCGCTCAAAGCAGTGGGGGTCCAGTCGCTGTGTGCCCAGGCAGTGGCCGCCTGGCTTTGGGGCTGCGGGCTCCCCTTCTCCCCTGGCAAAGCTGCCAGAAGAGAATCCCAGGGCTTACTTGGAAATCATGATAAAGTGCAGAGGTCAAGCTCGTTCCAGCCCAGAACTTTATCGGCTACAATGAGGGCAGGAAGACAGGGGGACAGGGATGACGAGGGGCCCTGCACCCCTTGCTACAGCACAGGAGTACAGGTGCCGGCACTTGACTCTCCGGCCCCCAGGCCCTTGGGCCCCTGGGCCTGCTTCTCCATCTGATTCCTAAGGGTGGACCACGTCCAGCCTTCAAAAGTCACTTTGAAAAACAGTTTTTTTATGTGACTTTGAACAAGGAGAGCCTGGGGTGTAAAATGCAGGTTCCAGGCTGTCCCCCTGGAATTCTGATGCTGGGGCGAGGAAGCTGCATTCTTTCCAGGACTAGCCAATTCTGTTGCCTGTGTCTGGTGGCCGCACTTAAAGACCCACCGAGCCCTGGTGCCTACGGCCCCTCCCAGCATGGAGAGGCTCCAGCTTTGCAAAAGTGAAAACTGCAGGAAGGTGAGAGAGGGAGGGCGGGCATTGGTCACGAGTGGGCTTGGCAGGGCCAGACCCCAGGGCGGACAGTAGGCCTTAAACTCACAAAGGGTCTCAAGTTAGTTCCAGTCATTCTCAGATGGGGTGACTTTGCTCCCCAGGGTTCATTTGGCAACGTCTGGAGACATTTTGGTTGTCACAGCCGGGGGCAGGGTGCTGCTGGCAGCTAGCAGGCAGGAGACAGAGATGCTGCTAAACGCCCTAGATAGGGCTGCCCCCACAGCACGGAGCTCTCGGCCCAACTGTCAGCACCAGGCAGAGAAACCCTGACGTTAGTCTTTTGACATTAATCTCCAAACAAGGTCAAACGTGCCATAGTGAAAACAGGCACAAAAAGACGATCATTCATCAAACGACTTTAAATGTATCACAGCGCTTTCTACGATGTCCTCTTGGTATTATGTTTTTAATATACCGGGAGGCTCAGAGAGTGGATGGAAGTGGCCAGGCCACTTGGGACTGCAGGGCTGCACCCAGAGCCCCCGGACACACGAGCGAGCGCCAGGGCTCCGGGGCTTAGCGGGCGAGTGGGCAGGCCCCTGGCTGGCATTCTGCCCTGACAGCGCCCCCATGAGGGTTCGCTTCCCCTCCCCACAGCTCCCGCCTCGGCCTGCCTCCTGCTCATGCTCCTGGCGCTGCCCCCAGCAGCTGCCAGCTGCCCCATGCTCTGTACCTGCTACTCGTCCCCGCCCACCGTGAGCTGCCAGGCCAACAACTTCTCCTCCGTGCCGCTGTCCCTGCCACCCAGCACGCAGCGACTCTTCCTGCAGAACAACCTCATCCGCACGCTGCGGCCGGGCACCTTCGGGCCCAACCTGCTCACCCTGTGGCTCTTCTCCAACAACCTCTCCACCATCTACCCGGGCACCTTCCGCCACCTGCAAGCTCTGGAGGAGCTGGACCTCGGTGACAACCGGCACCTGCGCTCCCTGGAGCCCGACACCTTCCAGGGCCTGGAGCGGCTGCAGTCGCTGCATCTGTACCGCTGCCAGCTGAGCAGCCTGCCGGGCAACATCTTCCGAGGCCTGGTCAGCCTGCAGTACCTCTACCTCCAGGAGAACAGCCTGCTCCACCTGCAGGTGAGCCTGCCCGCCCTTTTGCCAGGCCTCTCTGCTCCCCGTCCCCTGTGCGTCCCTCCTCTCCCCCAGGCCATCCTTCCTGCCCACCACCTCAGTCTCTCTATTTCTCTGTCTCCTTCCTAAGTTTCTGTCCCTATCACTTTTCCCAGGGGCTTTTCTTTACTTTGTCTCTGTTGTCCGTCTTCCTCCGTCTGTCTGTCTGCCCCTCTGCCTCTCTCTTGCTCTGTCTCACCAACTCCCCAGCCTTCCTCTGTCTGCCTCTGTCTGCCTCTGCCTGTCCCTTTCTGCCCCTCCCTGCCTCTCTCACTAACTTGCCTCCCCCATCTGTCTTCTGCCTCTTCTGTCTGTCTCCCTTCACACACCCACTCCGCGCACACCCCCATGTCCGTCTGGGTGTGTGGCTCTTTCCGTGATCTCCTTTCCCGTGTTTGCCTTCGGGGGACTCTGCCTTCCCCAGGCTCTCGTGCCCAAAGGCCTCTGTGGCTGCTTTTCTCATCCACCCCCAGGTCTGCCCACACCACTGGTGCCCATAGAAGGTTCTGCTTCTCTCCAACTCACTGGGTAATGGGGAAGGGAAACCCACACCCTTCCTAGACTCCCATTCCCCAAAGCTGTCATCTTAATGCAAGGGAAGAAGGGGGGGAAGAAAAGGGTAAATCTGTGATGCAGGGGGAAAATGGATGCTCTGAAAATGGAAAGAATAACAGTAATTGTTATTTATTGTTATTATTATTGATCTAATTATTGTTTATTGTTGTTGTTATGCTGACTATTTGACAAGTCAATTCCTCCTATTCCCTTTCCCCAGGAAGCAATAACACCCTCCAAACCACCCTGAGAGAAAAATCTTCCCCTGGCTACACAGCCTCTGGCTGGTGGGGGCCAAGGATATCCAAATTCTCCCCTCTCCCCACTTAAACCTGGAAGCTGCTTCCTGCTCCCCAGCCAGTGCTGGTGCCTACTAGTTACCAGTCTGCTGGCTGGAAAGCAGGTCAGTGTGGATGATATTAAAGATAATTACAATAGCAGTAACAATTGACAAACATTTATTGAGCATCCACCTTGTGCTAGATGCTAAGAATACAGTAGCCATAGTGAACAAAACAGACCAAACTCTCCGCCTTCACAGAGATAGCATTCTAATGGACAGGGAAAGAAGTAAAATGGCTTGTATATTAGAAAAATATGTCCCATGTTAATATCATTATTGCATAAATGGTAATTGTAATAATAGCAGCCACTATCACTTAATGGGCAGTGTCGGGCACTGGGCTAAGCTCTTTACAGCTATCAACTCTGCAATTTACAAGTGTGTGGCATTTTTTAACCTCCTCGGGCCTCAGTCTGCCCATCCGAAGATAGGGGTAGCAAGAACACCTATCTCCTAGGGATTCTGTAAGCATTAAATGCATGAATAATTTGTAAAGCACTTAGAATAGTGCTTGGCACATGCTAAGCACTATATAAATGCTTGTTAAAGTACTGTTTTAAAAAAAGAAATGAGCCTTATTTAACACTCAGCTTGGTGGAGGGGCCCAACTTGGACCCCATCCTGGACATCTGGGTCCACTTCAAGGATTATACAGAGGTCACGGGTGGGTCCCAGAACATATTCTCCTTTCTTCCTAAATTTGCCTAGCACCTCATGGTTTATGAAATGTACTCAGCCACCTCATCTCATTTCTATAGCCCTGTTAGGAGGTTATTTTTCACCTCCTTGTTAACAATGGGGAAACTGAGGCTGGGGGACCCCAAGACTTTGTAGGGATATGATGGCCTCTAAACATAAATCTCTTACTTAAACCACTGTCTGTGTGCCTAGGGACTTATGTCTTCTCACTGCCACGTTGAGACTCACAACAGCCTGGCAGTAGGGACAGTTAGGGCTAGTAAGGACATGGAAAGGAAGTTCTGAGGCCAGACGGCCAAGAAGAGCTGGTGCTTAAGCCTGCTTGGTCTGACTGTATTTCAGGAGTAGGTCTGAGGCACAGCTGAGTGGGCCCATTTTTGAAAGCACATGCTTTGGAGTCAACCAGATCTAAGTTCCAATCCTGGCTCTTAAATGACTTTAGACAAATTACTTAACCTTTTTCAATCTCCATTTCCCTATGATTGCACCACTACACACAAGCCTGGGCAACAGAGCAAGACCCTGTCTCTAAAAAAAAAAAAACCTCTATTTCCTCATCTATAAAATGGCAGTTATGACAGAGTACTTAATGTTAATGCTTATTTAAGAAGTTCTGTAGGGATTAAATTGTAAGGCATTTAGCACAAGGCCGCAGCCTCAAGATATGGGCATGCACTATAATTATTATTATTAATACTACAAAGACTATTGGTACTAAACTACTACTGCTAGGATCCTCACCTCCTTATCAATATATATTAGTTGTTCAGGAGGAATCCGGAGTCAGAGGACCTGAGTTTGAACCCCAGCTCTGCTATTTTCTGACTTATTTAACTTTAGGCAAGTTGCGTCCCCTCTCTGAACCTCAGTTTCATCATCTGTAAACTGGGAATAATGAAAAGAATACCTTCCACAAGGAATGTGTGTAAATAATAAATGAGTTAGTGTATATAAAGCACACAGTTCCGTGCTGAATAAATTATGTTATTATGACCCAATCCTCCATCAATACTTGGGCCAAGAATAGCAATCGGAGCCCGGGGTCAGCAAAGGCCTGGGTAGAGGGGACCTCAGGTGGACACTGGGGTCTTCTGAAACGGGAAGTGTTTGTCCTGCACACCCCTGGCATGAATGGTACAGGGCATCATGGGAAGAAAGCATCTTCACACCTGGCCCTTTCTAGAGGAGGAGGAAAGAGACAGCCTCTGCCTGTGAACTGCCTGGTGGAACTAGGCTGGGAGATGCCACAGGCAGGTGAGGGAACACGTGGGCTGGAGTGAGATCCACAGGATGCAGGTGTGACCCAAGACGAAGCCAGTCCTGCCCCGCAAAGGGAGCTTTGGAGGAAGCTCCAAAAGGGGACCATAGCTTTTCAGGATGTGGAAGGTAGAATGGAAATGGGGTGGGGTGAAGGTTCTCCTGGACTGTCTGCTGTATGCAGGCACTGTGCCAGGTGAGTTCATTCATCAGCACATATTCACTACCACATGCCAGGCAGTGTTCTAGGTGCCAGGGATTCAGGGTGAACAAAAGCAGTGTCCCTACTCTCCTGGAGCATATCTCCCACTCAAGTGTAGCCAGGTGATAAAGACACCCATTTTCTCTTTGAATCACTGCAGTGGTCCGTGTGGTTTAGAGGCAGTCCCTGCACTCAGGCAGATCAGATCTGAGTTTGAATCCCAGCTCCGCCTCCAGTTTGCTCTAGGGCTTTGGGCAAGTTACTTAAGTACTGTGAGCCTCAATGGACCCATCTGTGAAATGGAGATAATAACCTGTACCTGGGGTGGAGGCTAGGTGGAGTTGTGAGGATTAGAGGAGATACTACTTGAAAGGGCTCAGCCCCATGTCGGGTCCAGAGTAAGTATCCAATGAATGGCACCTATCAGTTAACGTTTTAACAGTGAGGATGCTGAGGCTCAGCCATGTTAAGGCACCAGTCCAAGGTCACTGAGCTAATAAGAGACACAGCCTAGAACTGGCCCAGGTCTGCCTGACTTCAGAGTGCAGCTGTTCAGAGCCCTGTCTTTGGAGTTCACGGCCACATTTCACTACACACTAGCTGTTGGACGCTAGGCAAGTCACTTCACTTCTCTGAGCCTCCTTCCCCTAATCTCTGAAATGGAGATAATAATAGTATCCACCTTACAGGGTTGGGATGATTAAGTAGGAATGTAGGATCTGGGAAGCACAGAGCCTGGCACACGGTAAGCGCTCAGTAAGTTACCTGCTGGCCCGTGCTGACGTGGGTGGTGACGTGGATGATGACGGCGATACCCATCGCCGACTGATGAGTGCTGAGCGGGGGTGCCTGGCACCGAGCAGACACTCAGTACAGCTTTGTTGAATGAATGAGGTACATCCCAGGCCTCGCTGCCGACTCATAAATATCAGATGAGGACGGGGATCTTAAAGATCCCCTGTCCCTTGTTCCACAGATGAAAAAACTGAGGCCCAGAGACGTGCCTGGAGCTGTCCAAGGTCACACAGCCCAGCAGCTGATTTGATTAGTGCCAAAGCCTGGAGCCGGGAGGTTGGAGGAAGGCAAGGTTAAGAACAGGATGCTGTCAGAAAAGGGGGCAGGGATGCTGCGTTAAGATTCCAAATGGATGCAGAGAGCTGTGAACTGGCCAGGGGGGAGGCGAGGGAAATGTGGTTTTTGAAATGGAAGAGGATGACTTTAGCAGACGCTCTCAGCCGCCCGGAGGGAGGGGGCGATAGGGAGGGTGGTGGGGGAGGGCTAGGGCTGTGAAAGTCAAGAGCTTATTAATGCACAGAGAACAGTTTTAACCATGGAGAGAGGAAGGACCGGATTTGAGAGCTATAGTCGAGGAAGTGGCAATGGGATTTGGCAACAGCTTGGATAGGGGGAGGGGGAAACGGACCCCAAGGCTGAGGCTCAGAGAGGGGAGGGGCAGGACTTTAGCAGAGAAACAATAGGAAGGAGAGGAGGCTAGAAAGAACCAAGAAATTCTGTAGCCCAAAAGTTGGGGCTTTGGGTCAAAGGCACCTGAATTCCCTGGAGTCCCTGAAGCTTCCATCTTGCCTTCTGACCTCCTGAAGTCCCAAAAATGCCAATTACCCCTGCTCCCTCTTCCACCCCCATACTGATCCTCTGACCATACATCTCTGGTTGTGCCCTACTCTCACTGGCCCTCCATGAAAAAGAGGAGCTCTAATTAGCTGTTTGAGTGGAAGGGATTCAGAGCCCACTCCCCAGGTGTGCTGGGAAGAGAAGAACAAGGGCACCAGGCCATTGGGGAGGGGGGTTTGCAGTGGAGACCTGAGTGGGGATTTGGGGTGGTGGCAGCAGAGGGTAGAGAATGCTGGTGTCAGAGGCAGCCGAGAAGGTTGAGGGGGACGGTTCTTCGGATCTCAATGTGGCCAAGAGGAGGGCTCTTGGCAGGCTCAGTTCCTGTAGCGGAGAGGGCGGAAGCCAGATGGGAGGGGGCGAGAACAGGCAGGAGCACAGGAAGGTGGAGGCTGTGGGTGTGGGTTGGGAGTCAACGCCCTCCTCCCAACTGAGGCCTCTGACCAGGCTCCTGGGTGGCACAGGGAGGGGATCATCTCCCTAGGCAGAGAAGGGAGGCAGAGCCACAGTCAGGAAGCAGGACCCCGGCCTGGGCTGGCCTGAGCACAGAGGATGCTCGCGTCCCTGAGCCAGACCTCCGGGGGCCTACTGACCACAGCGATGCCCTCACTGTGGGAACAAGAGGTGAGGACCTCAAGGCAGTGAGGTCAGGGGTCTGGTCCCCTCTCTGGCAAGCCCGTCATCTCTCTGTGCCTTGGTGCTCTCCTTTGCGAAAGGTGGGCTGGGCTGGTGGGTGCCGAAGCTCTAGCTCCCATAATTCCCTGGGAAACTGGGTAAAATGCAGAGTCCAGCGGTCCCCTCTGCCACTGTGGGTGATACCCACCTCTGTTAATTTTGAACCCATAGCTCCAAGGTCTTTTCAGCATTAACATGGCCTGATTCAGTGACTCTCCCCCACCACACCCCCCACACACAACCCCACCCCCGCCCCAGGCACGTAGGGGATAGTAATGCAAAGTGTCAGGCTGCAGCGACTCAGCTTCCTCCTCCCCAGCTGTCCCTGGGGGGTGGAGCTCCTGCCTGGTCCCCTCAATACTCAGACTTGGAGTAGCAGAACTTTTGGGGCCCAGGGAGCTCCTCTTTCAGAGGGAAAAGGATGGGACCTAATTCTAACTGAGCCCCTAACCACCATTTATTGACTATGCACCTGCCAGGTACTGTACCCTTAAACAGCATTATATCATCTACCCCTCATTTAGCCTGCTTGAGGGTTTTTTTTTTCCATTATATATACAGAGGAAACCGAGACTCAATGAGGCTAAATAACTTGCCCAAAATAACACAGCTAGGGAAAAGACAAGCTGGATTTTGAACCAGGGCTCTAACTCCTGAGCCTGTGGGCTTCATCATTGGACCAAATCCCCATTTGGCAGGCACTTGGCCAGCACTTCGATCACATGGTCTTTATGTGAACTGTCTTCTTGACTCATCACAACAAACCCGTGAAGTAGGTATGCCCGTCTCCATTTTGTAGATGAGGAAACGGGCACAGAGAGATTACTGGCATGGCTAGTTACTAATGGCTAACTCACAGAATGCCTACCACATGGAAGCCTCGTTCTAAGCACCTTAACACAGGTTGCCTCATTTAATCTCCGCAATTTACAGATGAGGAAACAGAGTCACAGAGATCCTGAGTGACTTGCCCAAGGTGGTACAGTCAGTTAATGAAAGATCCAGGATTTAAAATCAGAAAGGCTGCCTCCCCATTCTGCACGCTTAACCACCCGGAGGTTCCCCTTCTGAAGGTGTGGTCCTCCAGCAGCTGCTCAGCAGCACCTGGGAACAGGCACAGGCACGCAGATTGTCGGGCTCCACCCCAGACCTGCTGAATCAGAAACTCTGGGGCCATTCTCAGGGATCTGCAGGGATTCTGATACACGCCTGAAGTTTAAGAACCACTGACCTCAACCATACCGCTTTTTCCACAGCAAATACTAGGTTTTCGAGGGCTGGATTAGAATCCAGGACTCTATGACCTAAAGGTCAAACGCTTTCTATTCTGCCCTGTTGCCCCCCTTCCTTCCCCGCACCCATGCCCAGGAGAGGAGTCCTCCCCCTGCCTCAGAACCACTCTCTTCTTCTCTCCCTCCTTTCGCCGCCCCCCAGGATGACCTGTTCGTGGACCTGGCCAACCTGAGCCACCTCTTCCTCCACGGGAACCGCCTGCGGCTGCTCACGGAGCACGTGTTCCGCGGCCTGGGCAGCTTGGACCGGCTGCTGCTGCACGGGAACCGGCTGCAGGGCGTGCACCGCGCGGCCTTCCGCGGCCTCAGCCGCCTCACCATCCTCTACCTGTTCAACAACAGCCTGGCCTCGCTGCCGGGCGAGGCGCTGGCCGACCTGCCCGCGCTCGAGTTCCTGCGGCTCAACGCCAACCCCTGGGCGTGCGACTGCCGCGCGCGGCCGCTCTGGGCCTGGTTCCAGCGCGCGCGCGTGTCCAGCTCCGACGTGACCTGCGCCACCCCGCCCGAGCGCCAGGGCCGAGACCTGCGCGCGCTCCGCGAGGCCGACTTCCAGGCGTGCCCGCCCGCGGCGCCCACGCGGCCCGGCAGCCGCGCCCGCGGCAACAGCTCCTCCAACCACCTGTACGGGGTGGCCGAGGCCGGGGCGCCCCCCGCCGACCCCTCCACCCTCTACCGAGACCTGCCCGCCGAAGACTCGCGGGGGCGCCAGGGCGGGGACGCGCCCACCGAGGACGACTACTGGGGGAGCTACGGGGGCGAGGACCAGCGTGGGGAGCAGACGTGCCCCGGCGCGGCCTGCCAGGCGCCCCCGGACTCCCGCGGCCCCGCGCTCGCGGCCGGGCTCCCCAGCCCCCTGCTTTGCCTCTTGCTCCTGGCGCCCCACCACCTCTGACTGCGGTGCTGAGGCTGAAGAGGCCGGTGTCCACCCCCCAACACACCTCTCACCCCAGAACTGCGGCTCTGGCCCCAGCCCCCGCTCCCCTCCCCCTGCCGACTCGCTGCCTTCCTCCCTCCCTCCCCCACCCCTGCCCCTCTCCTCCTCTGAGACCAGGCCGCCTCCCCCTACCTCCTGGGCTGTCCTGACTTTTGGCAGCCCCAAGGGGGCGTGTATGGCGGCTCAGCCCTGTTCTCCCCAACTCTGGCCATTAAGTCTTCCCCATCCCAAGGCTGGGGTGGGGCACCCCAGGCAGCCGCTGACCCCTCTCCCCGGGCCCACAGCGGACGCCAGAGGGGCTTTCGCCTGCAGAGCATCTTCCACCAGCAGAGCCTTCGGAAGCTCCCCCAGGGGAGCCCCACCCAGGACCCTTTGGAGGGATGCCTCAGTCAGGGCCAGGCTGCCCCTGGGCCGTGCTTCTCCTAGCCCCCCGACCTCCTGACACTGGAGGAATACTTTTCTCCTAAGTCTACCCTGGACACTTTTTAGGGTGCCTGGAGAGAACTTTCCTCTCCACTGTGGCCCCTGTGTGGTGAAGATCAAAAGAAGTTGTTTGGGAAAAAAAATTTATTAAAAAATTCTATTATTTTATCTCCTGTAAGATTTGTTGGCTTAGGACCTCTAAAGTGGGAAGAGGTCTTAGAACTGTAAGGCCTTCAGGGGCAGGAGGGTTAAGGAAGGGTGAGCCATTCCATGCCCTCAAAGAGCTTCCTGCTGGTTGGAGCTGGTGTGTGCTCTCCCGCATTACAAGAACTAAAGCCAGAAGAGTGGTGGCACCCTGCATCGCAGGTGGGGTGACAGCCAAGGTGGGTGCTGATGGCACCTCATCTCATTTGTCCAGGCGGAGCAGCTACAGCCAACCCTGAGTTTTCTTCTTTTCTTTTCTTTTCTTTTCTTTTCTTTTCTTTTCTTTTCTTTTCTTTTCTTTTCTTTTCTTTTCTTTTCTTTTCTTTTCTTTTCTTTTCTTTTCTTTGAGACAGAATCTCGCTTTGTTGCCCAGGCTAGAGTGAGTGCCATGGCGTCAGCCTAGCTCACAGCAACCTCAAACTCCTGGGCTCAAGCAATCCTACTGCCTCAGCCTCCCGAGTAGCTGGGACTACAGGCATGCGCCACCATGCCCGGCTAATTTTTTTCTATAGATATTAGTTGGCCAATTAATTTCTTTCTATTTATAGTAGAGATGGGGGTCTCGCTCTTACTCAGGCTGGTTTCGAACTCCTGACCTCGAGCAATCCACCTGCCCCGGGCTCCCAGAGTGCTAGGATTACAGGCGTGAGCCACCGTGCCCAGCCTAACCCTGAGTTTTCTGGCACCTGGGAAACAAAGCCTGGGAAAAGCCTCCATCCTAGCTATTGGCTCCCTCCCAGGTCCTGTTTCTTCAGGAAAGAAGAGCAGTTCCCACCTTCCCCTGCAAGGAGGAGTCACTTGGACATCCATGGTCACAGCCAGCCCAAACATGCATGGTTTTGGGTAAATGTGAGAATGTCAGAGCAAACACCTTAGTAAGCAGAGACTCAGCCTGGATTTCAGCTCACACTTGCTCCCTTGGCTGAGTGCCCTTGAACAGTGTACAGGCTGCACAGCCGTACACAGCAACCCTGTAGACATGCGGTGTCTCTCCCTTGGCTCCTGTGAGGTAGACACCATCAGGGATGGACCAGGTCAGAGTAGCAGAAGTTAACTCCAAGCAGGCTAGAAGAGAGACCAAGAGTGATCGGAGGGACAGGAATCCCAAGCTGGGGTGCTTTCCCCAGCTTGAGGTGTGAGTAGAAACCTCATCTTTCTGAAGTGTGGAGGAGAGCCCAGGGAAAGAAAGACTTGGGGTGAGGGTTAGAGGTGAGTCTCAAACGGAAGCAACTGGAGAGAAGTTTGGTAGTTTGAATTGAGGGTTAACAATCTAGCTTGGGAGGTGAGAATTGAAAGACCAAGGGGGCCTGGCTGCTGGTGCTTGAGGAGGAGGCAAGCTGAGATCCTGTGATTCTGGCAGGATAAGTTAGAGGATGGTGAGGAGAAGAAGGAAATGGGAAGGGGTTAACAATGAAGGCCTGAGGCAGGGGAACTCCGGATAAGGGAGTGGGCTGGGTGGGGGGATAGTAAGAACAGCTGATCAGGAACCCAGGAGCTCCCAGGCTGGGGTCTTCCAGGGGCCTGTGTCAGGCTGGCTCTGGGGAGGCTAATGAGTCAGACTGGGGGGCCAGCCAGCAAGCGCTGCAATGGGGGAGGGGCTGCCAGGCCTGGGCAGGGGGAGGAGGGATGCTGGTAAATCAGAGGCAGGCTGTCCAGGTCACAGAATTATCTTTGTGAAATATTCATGGGCCTTCGGTCCAGATGCTATTTCAGAACAGTGAAAGCAGGAGGAGTGTGTGAGCCTCAGGAAGAAGCCTAAAGCAATGCCACTCTCCACCCCTCCCCACCTCTACCACCGCCAGCCCAGACAGACCCATGGACGCCCATCACATGCACACCCACACTCTCGAGCTCTCCCTCACACACGCTCGCCCAAAGCAGAGCTACACAGCACGTGCAGGCACGCCAGCCACCCACGGGTCCCACAAACAGGCTGATGCACCCCAAATAGTGGCATCACTCACTGCAGACCCGCTCAACCAGGACCGGACATAGAGACCACCCCCAGAGATCTGGCCTGCACAGACCCGCACCCAGGCTCTCCAAACAACCCAGATTTACAGCTTTGAACCACACACCCTGGAGTAGGGGGGACAGTCAAGACCACCCAGTCCAACCCCCACCAATGTTCCGATGGGGAAACTGAGGCCAGAGAAGGGAAGGGACTTGTCCGAGACTTCCCCACCCCCTGAAAGAAACAAAATTCATTCACCTCCCACATCCTGTGAGTGTACCCCCATTCTGCATTTTTTGTCTGCCAGACACCCAGCCTAGTTGTAGTTAAACGCCTCCCTTTCCCTAATCTCCTATATCTATTCAGTTACCCAGTCCCCCGCCTGGCCCCAATCCATCCCTTCCTTCCCATTCCCCCCACCACCTCCCCGCTCCAGCTACTCATTACCTCATGCCTAGAATATAAAAGAAAATAGCAATAACCTCCTCACTGGTTTTCCTACATTCAATCTCTCCCTCCCACCCAGCCTGTCCATGGTGACCAGATTTAACTGATCAAAATTTGCATTATGTCATTATGTTGCTCAGGAACCTATAAAGACTCCCTATTGCCTACAGGTTAAAGATCAAAACCCTTTAGCAAAGCATCCAAGATCCTTCAGAATCTGGTACCAACTGCTTTTCTAGCCTTTTCACTCTTGGCCTCATCTCAAACCTTCACGCCAGGTAGAATGTTTGCATCAGTTATCACCCACTTGAAACCCACAAACCTATTTCAAATGCTCCCTAAAATTCCTCAGTCTCCCCCAAACTAGGAAACCTCTTCCCTTTTCCTCAGATCACAGACTCCAGAGCTCTTCTCCAAGGCCAAGACTCCCCTTTCGGACCATACATGGGGGTTCTTTCACTGCCCTTCCAAGCTGCAGATAGAGGCTCAGGCTCTGGTTTCCCCAAAGCAGATGGCCGCCCCCAACTGGCCACCTTGCGAAGCACAGCCAGGCTGCAGTCCTGAACTGAGAGTGAGCATCTAACCGCCTGGAGAGAGGAATAGAAGGACGCCAGATGACAAGGTTTATAAGCCCTTAAGCCTCTAAGGTTCTTACACCCAGATTGGGGCGAGGGTTCCTGCTTTCTGAGCCGCTGGCTCCCACCTTTAGATCCCTAATCCATGAGAGAACGCCTCTGCTGTGAAATACAAAGACTTGGGGCTCCCAGGACACAGCAGAAGGGAAATGTGCCCAGCAGACTCTGAGAAGCCACAAGGCCAGGGATAGTCCAGGTGGCAAGCCTAAGGTCCAGCTGGGGTCAGGTTTCTATATGAATTTTTAATGCTTCCAGCCAGACCTGTCAGATGTTCCGAAACCTGAGCATCTATCTCCTTTCTTCTCTGTACATCATGCCCTTCCCCATCCCCATTGTCCCTGGGGGCCGGCAGGCTTGGGACAGCTATCCAGTGGCCCCTAGAGAAATGGTTTGGGGGCAGTAGAAGGGGGAATGACCTAATTATTCTTCCACTCATTCGCTGTGTGACCTTGGATAAGTTACTTAACCTCTCTGAACATCAGTTTTTGAGGGGTTTCTTTCTTTTTTGTAAGCTGGGGGCAACAGTGCCTGCCTAGAAGGAGCTGCTGTGGGGAATAAGTACAATTGCCTGTGGAAAGGTGACCTGCATGTTTGTGGTTATAATATTTCCTCAAGTTCTGCCTTCCTCCTCTGGTTTTCTTCCAACCCCAGAGGTGTCTCTGGCTCTTTCTTGGAAGATGGGGACTTTGGTTGGGTCTGCCATCCCCCTCAGGCCCAAACCACCCACCTCAAGAGCCTTTGGCCTTCCTAGGCCCTCCTCAGATGAGGAGGGGGGCAGGGAGCTAAGAGAGTAGGCAAGGCCGGTGGGGCGAGGGAGGAAGAAAGATGGTGAAGCCAAGGTAGGAGGGAGCACAGTGGGAGGAAGGGAAGACCCTGCTCAGAGACAGGAGAGCCAGGGCAGGCTCACTCCTCCTTTATCTCCCTGTCTTTCCCCTCCCTCCCCTCGGATCTGCTGAATCAGACTGCCAAGGGGACCCTGGAATCTGCATGTTATTAACAAGCAGAGGTGGGCTACCTAAAGTTTAGGAAACATCTCCTGCAAGGTGGGGTGGTCTGTGGGGGGCAGACAGGAGAATGCAAAGGGAGAGAAGTTACACTTGGTGGCAGTCACAGACAAGGCTTCTGCGTGGGGTGGGTGATGCCAGCGACGGGGAAGGAAGGACGGGGGAGGCAAAGAGAGAGGACGCCAAGCCAGACGGGGGAGGCGGGGCCCGCAGCCAAGGGGAGACTGGTGAGCCCTCGGAACGGAAGCGGACGCTCGAGGGGTACGCCCGCCCTCCCTTCGTGGCGATCGGGGACCCTGAACTGCGGGACCCGGGACGTGGGGACCCTGGAAGCGCCCCACGCCCCGTTTCTGGGGCGGAGGGTCAGAGGGGAAGCTTCTTATTCCTGGGGACCCGCGGCGCTCCCCGGAGGTTCAAGGCAGGGATGTGTGGACACCCGTGCGCCCCTGCCCGGCCGGGGCCCTCCGCCCCACCCCTCAGAACTCAGCCCAGGTCCAACCCGGCCGGCCTTATCCCTCCCGCTGCCCCCCGGCCCCGGCCCCAGCCCATCTGCGTACAGTTCCAATTAACACGTTTTTCCTTAGCTATTTGCGATCCCAGAACTCGCTCTCAGCCCAGGAGCCCGCTTCCCACCGCCTCCTCCTGGCCCCAGGGACCGCGGCCCATTAACCCTCGCGACCCGGGCCACTCCCCGCGGCCTTGACCCCGCCAGTCTACCCTGCGGCGGGCGGCCTGCAGGGCGAGGGGCGCGCCCTGGGGCGCAGGGCGGAGCGGCGGGGGCTGCAGCGGGCGGGAGGCCAGGGCTCTTGGGGAAGGCAGGCGCTTGCCCGCCCCTCTTTCTGGGAAGAGATGGGGAGGGGGGCTTCTCCAGGGAGACTCGGGGCGTCGAAATTCCTCGTTCCTCATCCTCCAGCCCCCGCACCCTCCTCCTCCCCGCCACGCACCCTCTCCCCTCCCCAGCCATCTGTTCCACTCCGCAGCGCCGCGACAAACGCGGCTCGAGCTCGCTTCCGCCCCTGCCCAGCCCCCTCCCCAAACTCCCCACGGGGAGACGCCCTTCTCCTGGGAGGCCAAAACTCCTGCCTCCGTCTCCCACCGGGTCCCAGGGCTCAGCTGGCCGGGGGCAAGCGTCAAGACCCCTCCTTGCGTTGCGAGGGTCGGGGGGCCGGAGGTAACGTTTGAAAGGGCGGGGGTCCGGAAAGGCGTAGGGCGAGGTCAGAGGAGGGACGGAGCAGGCCCAGGGTAGGGGTTCTGGAGGCCGAGGACCGGGCCGGGCGGCTGGCCGGCTAGGGCTGGGGTTACCTCCCGCCTCGCCGCCCCCTCGCACCCCGTCCCAGGCTGCGCCGGCCGCAGCCACGCAGCGCCGCCTGCCGGGCACTCCGCGCCAGGCGCGCACGCCCTGCCTCCGCACGCCCTCGCGGGGCCGGCTCATCGCGTGGGTCGGCCTCCACCGGACTATTGGGACAGGGAGGAAGGGTGCGGGACAGAGAGCGCAGCGAGACCCGGGCAGGCCCTCTGGGAGCCGCCGACCCCGTGGCCGGTGCTGTCCAACTCTGATCTCGTTATTTGCAAAAAGGCAGTGTTGTGAGTCAGGAGTCTGGGCTCGGAGCAGCCAGGTCTCCAGACCCCTCTGAACATGTTTTCTCATCTGAAAATGGGCAGGTCAGTCTTTTATGGACTTCTCAAGAGAACGTAAGACAAAAGGGAGAGAAAATGGCTCATCTGGAATGCCGTCTTCCGGCGCTAACCAATGCAGGTCCTCCAGGGGATTTTCTGGGGCGGTGGGGAGGATGGATAAGGCTATTGAGGTCACTCCCAGCCCCAGAGGGCAGCTGGGAACTGGGAAGAAGCCTGGGGCTTCATTTCTGCCCAGTTGCCCAGGGAAGACCTGTGGCTCGGACTCTGCAGTCAGACTGCTGGGGTTCCAAGCCCCGCTCCACCACCGACCACTGTGTGCCCTTGGGCTTGTGCCTTAACCTTTCTGGGCTTGTTTCCTCAATCTATGAAACAGGATGACAGTATTGATTTCTTGGGCTATAGTGCGGGTGAAATGAGATACCAGTGTAGAACAGACAGATCCTCCACCAATCTTAGTTGTCCGTCCATTCATTCTAGGACTCCTTCTAACCCCTAAGGCTTCTGTCCCAGGGGCACAAGCAGGTGTGGAGCTGGAATAAATCAGGTGTGTCTCTCTGAAAAGTGTCTTGTCCTCAAAGATGCTGTCTTCTTTTGATGCAGATTATTTTAAAGCCTCACTTTATTTATTTATTTACTTTAAAGCCATACTTTAATGTTAAAAAGTAAATGTAAATATAGAGTGAAACTCAAAATTTACATGAAGTTTTAAGATAAAATAGGAGACTACAAAAAAGTGTGACTTTCAGCAGGCCTGGGGATGCTTTGGTGGGAAAGTTTGAGTCATCCCTTAGCATTCTTTCTAAGGCATTCTCCCCTGATCCGCTGTATGGAGAAAGGCCAGCTTCCCAGATGTACCCTAAACCCTGGGAAGTGGGGTGCAGGATCTGGATTCCCTGCAGGCACTAAAGGCAGGGCAGGGCTGGGATCAGGGAAGTGAGGCAGACAGCCAGAGCCAGTCAGGCTAGCACGCCAACAGGCCTACTTAATGCCCAGCTGAGCCTGGGTGCGGAAGAGGGATGAGGGTGGGGCCCCCCCACTCCGCCACTAAAGAGAGGTGCACACCAGCCAGTCTCTCACTTCCCTTTTTATTTCCTCTAAGACCTGCAAGCAGCAGCACCAGGGAGGGAACCTGCCCTCCAGCCTCTGGAAGGGGCCTAGCCCTCAGCGCCCACCCAGGACACAGCCAGCACCTGAGGCCCCTTTCTTTCTGGGGGAAGTTGTGTCACACACACGCACACAGGCATACACATGCATGCATGCACACTCTAGGCAGCTGGGACCCTAGAGGGGTAGCCTGTTCGCTGATCCCACAAGCTCCATGAGGCACCAGGAGGCAGGCCCCTAGGACAAAGGGCTGGAGAAAGGGCACCCCACACTCTGGTGTCCTCCAATCCAAGGAAGAAGAAGGCCCAATCCCTCTAGCACAGAGACCATCTTCAGTCAATGGAGCATTGCTTTGGGGGATTTTTTTTTTGAGGTTTTTTTTTTTTCCTTTTTGCAAGTCCTTACAAAAATAGAACTCTTGGTATTTATAAATCCATGGCCCCTGGCTCTATGCGAATGTTACAGGTAGAAAAGCCGTATGGGGCATTCCCTTTGGTTGCTCAGGCATTGGGTGCCTGTTGTCCAGGTCTCTCGGCCTCAGAAGTCTATGTTGTTGACTCGGGATCGCTGAGCATCTTCAGTGGGCCCACCCCGTTGGCCACGTACTCCTTCTGGAGCCGGGAACGGTAGTAGAAGAGGTAGCAAGGTAGCAGGAATCCAAGGAGCGAGAACAGCAGGAGGCCCAGATTCACCTTGGGGGCAAGGAGAGAGAAACAGAGTTAAGTAGGTACCCCAGGGACCCTCCTGAGCTTCCAGGAGGACAGACACAGGGGGCGGGCAGGGGAAGAGGCAAAGACATGCTCAGACAACCCGTGCCCTGCTCCGGAAGGAGTATGCCACCAACAGGGCGAGCCCCAAAATGCCCAGGCATTTTTGCTGCAGGTCCTGGGCTAGAATGAAGAATACAGTTAGTACTAATTGTGTGCAATCACTGCTCCACCAATATCTCATTTAATGCTCAGCAACCTTGCAAAGTGGCTGAGATGAGACTGCTTGGGTCTATTAAGTGGCAGAGCCTGGGCAGTGCCCACACTATATGGCACTCTCTGGGTAGATATAAAGAAGGCCACAGCACCGTAGGAAACTGGTCAGGCTGCTCCAGAAATGGGACCTTCTGGACTGGCAGCTCAGACCATTGGAGATGTTGACTAATGGGACCCTCTTCAGGATGGTGACAGGAGGCTCTCAGGACCAGTTTAAGGAGCTGAGATGCACAGCCTGCAGGACAGGCAGCTTGGAAGGTCCAGGACAGTGGCCCTCACAGGGGCTCTGACTAGGTTCACATCCCACTCTACATTATTCACTGTGTGACTTCCGGCGAGTAATCACAACTATAAATGTCTCCTTCTCAGGGCTGCTGTGACAAAGATTAAGTGAAAAAATGTACACAGCACGTTTAGCACATAGTGCATGCTCGGTAAATGTTATTGCATCCCAGTCCTTGTGGAGGAAAGGTTTACGTGTGGGTGGCCCCACAGGGCAGATGGAAGATCAGCTTCAGGGAGGCAGATGTCAGCTCAGTGGAAGGAAAAGCCTTTTGAACAACAGCGGTGCTGCCTCATGCAGGAGTGGGTGCCCCGCCACTGAGCACTGAGGGTTTCTGAGCCAAGAGGGGAGAAGCTCCCTTCAGGGGCACTGGAGAGAGGACGCCCGCTCTGGGTGGAACTGATCAGACCAGTGGTTCCTGAACTCAGGCCCAAGGATCAGGAACGGGCCACTTCCCAAATCACCTGGGAGCTTATTAAAAATAGACTCCTAGGGTCAGGCTGCGAGATGCTGACTCAGTAGCCTTGGGTTATCTGTATTTTTAACACCATGTGAGGGGTTTTGAGGGGCAGCCAGCTTGGGAACCCCCAGATTAGGGCCCTCCAAGGTGTATCTGGCTGAGATGAGCGAGGGATTCCTTCACATACAGGCACCCTGCCCCTGCCCCCAGCCCTGCCTTTCCCCCTGCCTGCCCCGCGCCAACCCCCGCTCTCACCCAGAAGGGCTCTCCTTTCAGGGGTCCCACCATGGCCATGAAGAGCGGCTGCTGGAGCAGGGCGAACACGGCGCTGATGAGGGACTGCAGGCCCGTCAGCGTCCCGAAGTGGTTGGATGGGAACCTGTCCGGGAGGCAGGCAGAACAGGGGTGCATAGTCTCCAGCCCAGCCCAGCACCCCTCGGGTCCCTCCCCCCAGACGTTGCTTTCACTGGCCGGGCAGGGTAGCGCTTGAGAGTCCAGGCTCTCTGCACCAGTGGGTCCCTGGCCCCGAGGGAGGGCGCGTGGGGCAGGGAGGTCCCGGGCCGGGTCTTGAGGAGCCTTTTAGCCATGATAAAGTCATTGGCTTTTACCCCGAGTGAGATAAGATGGGAAGCTACAGCTTGACGTGAAGAGATTTATGTCTAACAGGTGACTCCAGCCCTTGTGTTAAAAATAGGCTGAGGGAGGATCAGGGCAGACGTGGGGACACCGCTTGGGGACTGCCATGATAATGCAGGCTAGAGATGACAGTGGCTCAGACCGGGGTGGCAGCGGTGGAGGGGACGAGAGGGGGTCCCATTCGGGATACGTGGGAGGAGGAGCAGGCAGCACCGAGGATGGGCTGGGTGTGGAGTGGGAGGGAGAGCAGAATCAAGAAGACTACATGGTTTGGGCTTGAGCAGACGGAGGGAAAGGAGCTGCCCTCCGCCAAGGTGGCGGCTGGGAGGCTGAGATCAGGGAGCCACGGTCACAGGGCCGTCCTGTGCCCGCCGTGCAAGATGCCCTCAATAACGGTCATGATTTTGTCACCACTATCGTAATGTCCTATGTTACTCCATCGCCCATGCAGGCAAGAGTCACTACAGCACCTGGCAGTGGAGACCGGAGACGCCTGCCGCTTCCTTTATTCTTTCGAAAAATATTTATCGAGCTCCTACTGTGTGCTAAGCACCGTTTTAGGTGCTGAGCTATAGTGATGAAACCAGTCCAAATGGCTCAATGGTGAAGGAGGAAAGTTACAAGACTATCTTTGGGAAATTTCTTCTGGGCAGGCATGGGGCACAGTGGAGGCCACTCTGGGGGCCATGCCAGACAGCAGACACAAGAACAAAGTGTCTTCCAGCCAGGTATTTCGGCTTCCTCTAAGGGAAGACTTTCCCACGGTGGGAGTCATACTGCAGCGGGGCGGGCTGCCTTTGAAGAAGTGAGGGGCTCAGAGAGGGCAGTGGACCAGCTTCCAAGACCCCCCAACTCTGAGATGTCTGCATTCGAGGGAGGTGGGCGTGGGAGGGGTGCGCTGGGGGATGTCTGGGCCCTCCCAACTCTGCTCTGGGATTCCCTGGTGATGGGGCGAAGTCAGGAAGGCAGTTAGCCAAGGGGACTCACACTGCAGCGTAGAGGCTCCCACAGGCAGAGTGGAAGAAGCCTCGGACCACGGTGTGCAGGATAAACGTCACGAACTGAAACCAAAGCCAGTGAAGAGGTTAAGAGAGAATGTCTCAGTCAGCATTTCAAACACTTCCTGGAGAGCCCGCCAACAGTCAGACCCAGACCGGAGGATGGAAACCATGCTCCCTGGCAGGCGCTGGGTGAAAGGTCGCTTTGCAGGAGTCCTGGGGGGCAGGGAGAGGAGAAGGCTGGAAGCAGGTACCTGGAGGTGCAAGTTATTGATGAGGCAGGTGATGCCAAAACCCACAAGCAGAAAGTTGGTCAGCGTGAAGGCATTGATGGCATTGGTGAGCTTCTGGATCTTACAGTAGCGCGGTCTGAGGGACTTGGCAGCAGCCCCATCCCTGCGGAGAAAAGGAAGTCACTGGCCACTGCCTCTACCCCTCCAGCAGTTCCCTGGTTCTCCGGCCAGGCCCCAATGTGATGTGCCTCTGCTGTTGGGGCATCAGAAACGGTAGAAAACCGTTTCTGCAGCTGTGTTTCCCCCACCCAACTACACAAGCGTCAGCAAGGGCTTTCTTTTATTTATTATTTTTTTGAGACAGAGTCTCGCCTTTGTTGCCCAGGCTAGAGTGAGTGCCATGGCATCAGCCTAGCTCACAGCAACCTCAATCTCCTGAGCTCAAGCCATCCTCCTGCCTCAGCCTCCCGAGTAGCTGGGACTACAGGCATGCGCCACCATGCCCGGCTAATTTTTTCTCTATATATTTGTTGGCTAATTAATTTCTTTCTATTTATAGTAGAGACAGGGTTTTGCTCTTGCTCAGGCTGGTTTCGAACTCCTGACCTCGAGCAATCCGCCCGCCTCGGCCTCCCAGAGTGCTAGGATTACAGGCGTGAGCCACCGGGCCCAGCCAGCAAGGGCTTTCTTAACAGCAGATTCACAGGCCCAACCCCAGGCCTCAGAATCTCAGGGGCAAGGCCCAGGAATCTGCATGTTGACAGATTTTCTCATGCACACTGACGTCTGAGAACCAAAGATGGGAAGGAAGGTAGAGAATGGAGAATTCTCCCACTGTCTCCTATCAGAAGCCCCAGGAAGGTGTCTCTGCCCACCAGCCTGGACAAAAGGAGACGCCATTTGAGGACAGCAGCTTAGTCCCTGACTGCTCAGCAAGCCTCTCTCTCTGTTATGATCAAGGGCTGTGAAGCCAGCCCAGGGGAGAGGTCAGTAGGCTGGGGTGAGGGCAAGTGGCCCATCTGTCCTGGACAGAAGGTCCCTGCTGGTGGATCCTGGCCATGAGGAGCATAGGGTGGCAGAGGAAGGCTGGGTGCCAGGGCCAGGCACTTTTGCAAGAAGGGAGGCCACTGGATTGCTCCTTGGATGCCTTCTCTCCTATTCTCCGTCTCCCATCCTCTGAGGACAAATGGGGACTATTTGGATTAACACAAAAAGAACAAAAGCAGTCAGAAGACCTGGGTTCAAGGCCCAGTGGTGGTCTCCAGCCAACAAGACAGCCCCTAGTGACCCCTGCCTCCTGGTATTCCCCCCTTTGTGCAGTCCCCTCCCACACTATACCAGGGTTGCTCTATGTGACCAACAGAATATCACAAAAGCAATGGTATGCTACTTCTAAGATTATGTTACAGGAGTCGCTGCGGCCTCCATCTTGCTGTCTCTCTGTCAGCTCTCTTGCTCAGGTGGAAGCCAGCGGCCATGTTGGGGGTGGCCATGTGGAGAGGTCCACGTGGGAGGAACCAAACCGAAGGCAACTCTCCAACCCACTCAAGGCTTTTGATGACCGCAGCCCTGGCCAACCTCCTGACTACAGCTTTATGAGAGACCCTGAGCCTGTCACTCCCAGATTCCCGACTCTCGGAAACTGTATGAGATGATAAATGTTTCTTGTTTAATAATGCCAAGCTTTGGGGTAATTTATTATACAGCAATAGATATCTAACACACCAACTCTATCTCTTCCTAAACTTAAGAAGGCTTTATTTTGTTATTATTATTATTATTATTATTTTTTTTTTTTTTTTTTGAGACAGAGTCTCGCTTTGTTGCCCAGGCTAGAGTGAGTGCCGTGGCGTCAGCCTGGCTCACAGCAACCTCAAACTCCTGGGCTCGAGTGATCCTTCTGCCTCAGCCTCCCGGGTAGCTGGGACTACAGGCATGCGCCACCATGCCCGGCTAATTTTTTATATATATATCAGTTGGCCAATTAATTTCTTTTCTATTTATAGTAGAGACGGGGTCTCGCTCTTGCTCAGGCTGGTTTCGAACTCCTGACCTTGAGCAATCCACCCGCCTCGGCCTCCCAATGTTATTATTATTTTTAATAAGTTATTTTCTTAAGAGATGGAGTCTTGCTATGTCACCCAGGCTGGTCTCAAACTCCTGGGCTCAAGAGTTCCTCCCACTTCAGCCTCCTGAGTAGCTGGGACTATAGGTACACACAGCCATGCCTGGCATCTTAGTAGCTGGGACTATAGGTACACACAGCCACGCCTGGCATCAAAAGCCTTAGGAAGGCTTTTGAATATACCCTTTATAACATGGGTTCTGCAACCTACTATTAAAAGCTGTGCAATCTTGGGTAAGTTACTTAACTGTGTAACCTGTGTCTTATTTTTCTTAAATGAGGGTACTTTTTTGCTCGAGCCCAGGAGTTTGAGACCAGCCTGGACAACACAGTGAGACTCCATCTCTACTAAAAAAACAAGAAACCCAAAAAACAAAAGGTACCTAGCTCAGAGAGCTGTTGTAGGACTAAATGGACAATGCAAGGGGCCTAGCACACAGGCAGCACTCAATATTAGCTATTCTTAGCCAGGCGCAGTGGCTCACGCCTGTAATCCTAGCACTCTGGGAGGGTGAGGCGGGAGGATTGCTCAAGGTCAGGAGTTTGAAACCAGCCTGAGCAAGAGTGAGACCCCGTCTCTACTAAAAATAGAAAGAAATTAATTGGCCAACTAAAAATATATAGAAAAAATTAGCTAGGCATGGTGGCGCATGCCTGTAGTCCCAGCTACTCAAGAGGCTGAGGCAGAAGGATCGCCTGAGCCCAGGAGTTTGAGGTTGCTGTAAGCTAGGCTGACACCAATGGCACTCTAGCCTGGGCAATAGAGTGAGACTCTGTCTCAAAAAAAAAAAAATTAGCTATTCTTATTACCAGGCAAGGCGTGGCCTTACTTAGCCTCAGTTTCCTCATCTATAAAATGAGTAGGCACCCCTGCTCTCCCAGTGCTCTTGGGAGAATGAAATATGATGCTGGTGGTTATAAAGGCACAGAGAAAATGGAAAGCACTGTCTGACCACTTGCTGTCACCATCCCTGTGCAGGTCACCTGGCATCTCTGAAGGCAGTGCCATCAGCTGGGGCATCCACACAGTCCTTGATCCGCCAGTCCATGATGTAGCCGATGAGGGGGCAGGTGAGAAGGCACAACAACTGCATGGCCCCAAAGATGGAGGTGTAGAACCCAACTGGGCAGGACGGGAAGGGAAATGAGGTCAGGAGCTGACACCAGGGAGACCAGAGAGTGCCAAAGCAGCCTTCCTCTGACCCCAGACTCTTAGATCCCCAATGCACGGGGTCACCGGGGTGACCCAGGCCCAGAGGAGTCCCACCCCCTGCAGGGTGGCCAAGGGCAGGCAGGTGTGGGCCACAGCCCTGCTCTTCTCTCCCTACCTGTCTCTGCCACCTTTTCTCTCTGTTCATTCGTCTCTGTGGGGCAGGGGGAAGGCATGATGAGAAGAGCTCAGTCAGGGTGACCCTCCTGTGCCTCCCGCCCCCCGGGGGCCTCCACAGAGCCTCACCCTGCTCCTGGCCACTGGTCACAACGTACTCCAGCATCTTGTTCATGGCGGCCATGTAGAAGATGACCCGCAGCTGGGTCATGCCCATGGTGAGGAGGCTCCAGAGGAAAATGGGGGCACAGAGGCTCTTGCGGAAGGGGACAGACCCTGGGGAGACAGCAGGGGGTGCCCCTGAACCCCAGGCTCCACGCTGCCCTCTGCCCCAGCTCATGCAGTTCTAGCAGGAGCTCTGTCACTATGTGACTTTGGGGAGGGACAGGTTTCTTCAAAGATGGGAAGGTTCCTTGTCCCCAGACTCTCCACAGAACATCTGTAGGTGACCAGCTACGCTTCATGTGGTACTAACTCTATGGGCTACACACTTGACATGTATTGTCCCGTGTAATCAAATCTGACAACAACTCTATCTTTACCACATTTTACAGATAAGGAAACTGCGGCTCAGAGAGTTATAGACTTGCTGAGCTCACAGGGCCTGGAAGTGCAGGTCAGCCTGACTCCGGCTCACACCCTTAACCACTCAGACCTCTGAGGATCGGCATGGGGTAAGCACCCTCATAATCGCACACCACTTTGCACTTCACAAGGCTTCCATGTCCACTGTGTCATCCACTGTCACAGCTAGCTTCCCTGTTTGGCGGGTATTATTAGTGCCAGTCTAAGAAATGAGGAAATCAAGAGTAAGACCAGGGCCGGGCGAGGTGGCTCACGCCTGTAATCCTAGCACTCTGGGAGGCTGAGGCAGGCAGATTGCTCGAGGTCAGGAGTTCAAAACCAGCCTGAGAAAGAGCGAGACCCTGTCTCTACTATAAATAGAAAGAAATTAATTGGCCAACTAATATATATAGAAAAAATTAACCAGGCATGGTGGTGCATGCCTGTAGTCCCAGCTACTTGGGAGGCTGAGGCAGCAGGGTTGCTTGAGCCCAGGAGTTTGAGGTTGCTGTGAGCTAGGCTGACGCCATGGCACTCACTCTAGCCTGGGTAACACAGTGAGACTCTGTCTCAAAAAAAAAAAAAAAAAAGAGTAAGACCAGGTGATTTACCACGTCACATGCCCATAACTGGGGAGCAGGACTCAAACCCCCCATCTCTTGACTCAGAGGAACTTCTTCCCCCAATCTCAGAGCGACAGTCCAGGGGTCTCAAGTACCTTGGGAAGTGGGCCAGGCAGGTGGGTACAGCTCCTCCTGCAGCCAGCAGGGGGCACTGGCCAGCCAGGTGTGGGAAGGGCCCTGCCAGGAGGCTCATTGCTTGGCTTACAGGTTGCAGGGGGCCCTGAAGAAGCCAGCTGCCCCACAGCTTGCTCTTGATTTCCTCATTTCTTAGATTGGCACTGCCCTGCCCCCATTCTGGAAGCTCCTCCCTCCCCCCATCCTGAGAATCTAGCAGGGTACCCCTGAATCTGAACTTTCCAGCTTTGTTTTCCCTACCTGTAATGGGGAGCATGCCGCACCTACATCATGGGGTGTTGTAAGGACTGAGAGAGAATAAATAAATACTCAGACATGAGTGCTCACTAAGCATGAGGACCCACGCTCCCATCCAAGGCTGGCGCCCTGACCAGACACTCACTCTCAGGAAGTTTTTCCGAGGTGCCACGGACATCCTGGGATGAGATGAAGACGTCAGCCCCCTCCTCCAGGCTAGGGGCCTTCTGGCTCAGCCGCTGGCCCACAATGGTCACGTGGGTATAGAAGCGGTCACCTGTCACCTTGTGATCCAGGGCCAGCCCACTGAGCTTGATCTTCTTCCTGCCAGCAGCCAGGCCACAGAGTGTGCGAACCAGCCACACAGAGCCCACCCTCAATAGTCTACCTCTAGGCGCTGCCCCAGTTTGTCCCCGTGGTACTGAGCACCTGTCTGCCCAGCACCAATGCGCCCAATAATAAGCTCCCAAATGTTGGGCTCCTTCCTGTCTGTGTTGCTCAGAGCCTGGCCCAGGGACCAGCTTAGCACAGGTGCCCAGTAAATGAAGAGTCCATCAGCTGCTTTCCACCTGGGCTGTTCCCATGGAGGAGGCTGCATTAAAACCTCAGGAGGCAGACAGCCTGATCAAAATTTAGATTCACCCCCATTCCAATGGTATGACCTTTGGCAAGTCACTTTGTTTCCTGCGCTTTTGTTATTAATGGAGTTAATAATAGAATCTACATCATACAGCTGTTTGAGAATGGTATGGGGACTAAGTACAGTGCCTGGCATATAGGAGGCACTTGATAAATGTCAGCTATATGACTGTCACCCTATGTACTTGTTGTGGAGCATCACCCCCTACCCTTGATGAACTGATATGCAGTTGGGAAAAGTTGGCATTCAGGTTGCCCCCCAAAAAGTGGGGTGCTTGATTGTTTTGTACTCCCCCTTTTGGGTTCATATGGTATCTGCTGCTATTGCTGGGGTCCCTCCTACTCTGATCTCCTCCTCCAAACCCACAAAGGACAGTATTAATCATATTATAGCCACTATAGTTTGATTACCTGTTATGTGCCAGCTCTACTACTTAAAAACACCTGTGGGTAGGTAGGAACAGGCCCATTGCACAGATGAGAAAGCAGAGCTCTGAGAGCTCAGGCAATTTGCCAGGCTGAGATCTCAGCTGAGGTCTCTCTGGCTCCAAAACATATTCTGTCCATCCTGTCACCACAGCTGGGGAACCCCTGCCCACGCCAGCCACTCACGTGTAATTGACTTCCTCGGGGGCAGGAAAGGCTTCGATAGGCCAGTTGAGGGCACAGTTCAGAAAGATAAGGCAGGCCAGGCCGGACCAGGTGAACATGATGACCACAAAGGCCACACCAGCGTCATAGATCAGCTGTGGGAGGAGGGGGCAGGCTCGTGGGGGAGGCCGCTTGGCCCTAGACGCCACTGAGGTAGAATCCAGGCCTCAGAGGCCTTAAAAGAAAGTCTCTTCTACCCAACTCCTTGTGCCCGATTTGCAGATGGGGAAACCAAGGCCAGAAGTAAAGATTCAGATTCAGAAGCCTCACCATTTCTCTTCCTTTTCCACCCAAGTCTCCCTAAAGAGGTGCAAAGTAGTCTCCACAGAGTGCTGAAGTGGCCGGCCACTTGCTCAAAATGTCATTGCAATCTCACAGGCGCTCCCAGGTGCCACAACTGGGTGCATTGTGGGGAAGTGCAAGTGCTCTGCCTAAGGCACCCAAGCACCCAAGCCCAGGACAGGCAGGTTCCGAAGGGATCGGGATTCTGTGCAGATGTGTCAGCCCCTCTCATGGGAGAGGCTGGTGCACAGGGATGATGTCCTGTCTTGTCATCTCCGTACCCTCCGCCTGGATGACTGATGTCTGCTCTCGCCTCAGGCTCCTGCCCAGAGCTCCACTCAAAACCTGGGAAAAACTTTGCTCTTTCTAGGCCTTGGGCCTTGAGGCCATTTCCTCCCTGTGGCAGGACGGAGTTTCAAAGGGCCATACGCCCAAATATGTGGAGGTGAAATCTGGCTCCTCAAACCCCACTCTCTTAGTTGAAGACAAGGGAAAACCACTCACCCTCTATGCCTGCCCAGCAGAAAAATTGACGGCCACCCTACCCAGGCACACTCTCAAACTGCTTTGGAGAGTCTGAGCAAAAGTGCCGCCTAAACTAACAACTTAACCGCCCATGGTGGAGTCTGAGGAGCACACCATGACTCAGTCAATGCGCGCTGTGGTGGCATTCGACAGAGAAAGCAACAGAGGCCCCCACCTTGTCCAAGCTAAAACCAGGCCTCCCTGCTCCCAGGTCCACCAAGCTGACCTGTCCAGGATCTAGCCTGGCATGGACTAGGATCTGTGACCCTGGAGCAAGTCACTCAGCTTCTTCGGAAGGTGTGGATAAAAGATGCGCCCCAACAGGGTGGATGAGGCCAGAGAGTCAGGGACCTCGAATGCATGTGAAGGAGCTGGACTGGATTCTGTAGGTGAAACAAAACCACTGAAGGTTTTTGAGCAGGTGTGTGGGCCAGTTCGCCATCTAAGATCATTCTGGAAGTCATGGGAATGACAGATCAGAGAGAGAAAAGATCGCAGGCAGGGAGACCAGCCCAGGAGAGAGGAGGAAGGCCTTCGCTGGGGACACCAGCATTGGAAAGAAGGAGGCCAAAGAAGCAGAGAAGTCAGACCCACCAGGCAGCCACTGCTCACCTAGCCCCACCCAGCTCTTGTCAAGGCAAAATAAAACCCCGGGGGACCTCACCGGCCCCCCCAGGCAGCTCCGTACCTTGATTCCCGGGAACGTGATGGCAGAAGAGGCATAGGAGCCGAACATGATGGCCATGACCGTGGAGCGCAGGTTCCCAAACATGTTGGGCAGCTGAGGGGCGAGAGCGGCACCGGTGAGCAGGGACGCCCTGACACACCCCCGGGGTTCCCAGCCCAGTTGCAGAAAATTGAGCTCCAGGAACAACACCCCCGGCAAATTCAACCCGGGAAACTGTACTCTTTCCCCTCCTACAAACTCATGCCGCACTTTCACATCTAAAAGGCTCTCGGGGGCCGGGCGCGGTGGCTCACGCCTGTAATCCTAGCTCTTGGGAGGCCGAGGCGGGCGGATTGCTCAAGGTCAGGAGTTCAAAACCAGCCTGAGCAAGAGCGAGACCCCGTCTCTACTATAAATAGAAAGAAATTAATTGGCCAACTGATATATATATATAAAAAATTAGCCGGGCATAGTGGTGCATGCCTGTAGTCCCAGCTACTCGGGAGGCTGAGGCAGAAGGATCACTCGAGCCCAGGAGTTTGAGGTTGCTGTGAGCTAGGCTGACGCCACGGCACTCACTCTAGCCTGGACAACAAAGTGAGACTCTGTCTCAAAAAAAAAATAAAAAAATAAAAAAAAAAATAAAAGGCTCTCGGGAACGCCCACGGAGAGAAATTTTGTTGATTTTTTTTAACCCCAGGGTTTCCCAAGTTGGTTGTTTGGGGAACCCCTTTATCACATGACAGCTCTGAACAACCCATGGTAACAGGTGTTTAAGAAAACGCTGACCTAGTCCAACTCATTTTAGATGACAAAATCGAGACCCAGAGAGGGAAAGAAGGGAAGAACGATACTCAGGTTCACAGAGCATGTGCATGACTTTCTCTCCTATTGGGGCCATCCCTGCCTGACACAAGGCTGTGACTGTGGCTGACCCTGTAACAGGATGGTGCCTCTTAACGCTCTTGGTGGCCCCTAACGTCCCAGCCCACAGTTTCTGTTGGATCGGGACAGATCCTGGGAGGGCCAGAGAGGTGACCCTGGGAATCAGGCAGGCAGCTGGGACAGGCCAGGTCTCCAGAGGAGGTGACTCTGACGCTGGCCCAGAACCCCCACCAGTAGAGAATTAATTGATTGTATGTTCTGTCAACAGCATGCCAGGCCCTCGGGGGAAGAGAAGGCAAAGTCATGACGTCCTTTGCACACACCCCCTTCTGGCCCCACCATCCTCCCCACCTCACCAGATCCCATAGCTGAAAAAGACCTTAGAAGCCACACAAAGCTAAACCGTCTCCACAGAGGGGGAAACTGAGGCTCTGAAGGGAGACCTCAGTCAGCTCTGGGAAAGAAGGTAAGTTTAAACACGAGGGAACCCATTCGTCCTGTCCCCCACATGTGGCTCAGGAGAGGGAGCGGGCCAGGTTCGGCCCCACTCGGGCAGAGGTTTCCCTGGCATCCCGGATCAGTGAGGCACGCGGCCAAGGACGCCGGAGAAGGCAGCCAGGGCCTGGGGGTTGGCAGGGCCCCCTCCCCGCAAGGGTCCGCGGGGGCCGTCTCCGCCCAGCACCGCGGGTAGGGCGAGGCCGGCCGCTGACCCCAGGCTGGCGGCCGCCGGCACCGGACGCCCGGCCAGGCAGGGCGCTGCTCCCGCGGCGCGGGGGGCGGGGCCGGCCGGGGCGGGGCGGGGGCGGGGCGGCGCCGGGCCCTGCGATTGGCTGGAGATTACAGGGCCCGGGACGGCGGGGAGCAGCCGCCCGCCGCGCACCCCAGGCGGCCAGGCGGGGTCGGAGGTCAGACCCCGCGCCCCGGGGAGGAAAGGGACCTAGGGCAGCCAGCCAAGCTACACAGGGCGGAGAAGGGGCCGCGGAGCGGGGCGGGGAGGAAGGGATCCACTTCCTTAGAGAGTTGTGAAATGTCCCCGGCTGGAATTAAAGGCAGCTGCTGGGGTAAGATGACATTCAGCCAAAAACACCCGGTTAGGCCGTCAGGAGGCCCTCGTCCCAGATAAACAGCCCGCCCCAAGCCGGCTCAGCCAGGAACCTCCCCTCCCCCACCAACACTCTGCTCCGCCTTTAACCCTTATACTCACATATGTGAACATACACAGAGAAACACACACAGACACACATGCAATAGGCCGAGCCGCGTGAAAAAGCCGTTTTTCTAGGTCAAGCCCGGCCAGATATTAACAATTCCATGTGGCTCAACCTCATACACTCACAGCTACATTTTCGGTCTCAAGCCCTCTGACACGGACAGCCCACTCTCCCACAACGTGGCAAACGTACGCACTTCCCCCTCCCACTCACTATCGGATTACTCCGTTTTATTTTCTTCCCAGCACTTAAGACTACTGACATAATTTATTAGTTTACCCCAAATGTAAGCTCTGGAAGGGGAGGACGTTGTCAAGTCCTGTTTGTGCTGTGGCCTCAGCCCCTAGAACGGAGCTCAGGAGACATTCTGTGCAGGTGCACGCGAGCACACGCACACAGCCTCACCCCCACCCTTAGCTGCCACCTGCATGGTTTCACACGCGCCCCACCCCCACCCACCGAGAGTCCTGCTGCCAAGACAGGCATGACATACTCACAGTGAGTGAAGAGAAGGTTAGGCAGATTCCACCAAAGCCATTCAGAGACAGTGCCAGGAATATCAATGGAGACAGAACTGGGAAGAGGAAGAGGAAGATGAAGGCGAGTGAGGGCACAGGGAGGCCAAGGGCAGAGCTGGGGTGAACATCTGCCTTCATCCCGCCCATTCTTTTCTTGTGGGGGCACCAGAAAACAGCTCACCTTCAGTGTCCCAAGATGCCAGGGCCATGAGGGTGCAGGACGAAGCAAAGCAGGCACTGCAGGGGACACGGGGAAGGGGAGGGCTTGACCCGTGCGCCCTCTGAGCACCCCTGTCCCTGCAGCACTGTCCCCGCCCTCCAGCGCCCCAGATCCCAGCCGCCTCACCTGCCAACCAGCCGCACAGGCCGGGGGCCGAAGCGGTCCATGAAGACCCCCAGCGGCAAGGTGGTGGCACTGAGCACGAAGGAGCCGATCGTGAAGCCCACGTTGAGCATCTCGTCCTGCCAGTCACAGCTCAGCCACTGGCGCTGCTCATCCTGGGTGGTGTTGGTGGTGTTCTCAACTGGGTAGGGGAAGGGGGAGCTTAGCACATGACAGCAGTAGCGGCCGGGCACAGAAGAGAGCAGCCCGGGTCAGGGGCCTGTATTCAAGTCCCATGCCAGGTGACCCTGGGGGTAGCCCAGAGTCATGTCTCCTGGGGGGGGGGCTCCATAAATAGCAGCAATTAGTATGTGACCCTGGGAATCAAACACACACCCAACCTGAGGCCTCAACTAGTTCAAATGAGATAATGGATATCAAAGTGTTCACCAAGTTGCAGTATTTATTCAATGTTCCAGCTCGGGGGTTTTATGGACCCCACAACAGAAAGCACCTCCAAATCTAGGGCAAAGGTGGTGAGTGGTACTCTAATGGCCATAACAAGAATTTGCCTAGAGGTCTGTTTCCTTATGTCCGAGGAAACAGAAAAGAAAAAAACTTAGATGAAGCTTTCTCGATAAGTAACATTCTGATAAAATAATAATAGCTAATGTTTATTGAGCACTTAACTATGTTCCGGGAACTGTTGTAAATAGTCACTATATATTAACTCACAGCAGCCCCATGAGTCAGTTAATATTGTACCTCCGTTCTCCAGAAACTGAGGCACAGAATCAGGACCACAGCACTGCCCTCTACTCTCCATAAGTCTACCTGGAGGACTCCACCTCAAGGTCAAATGCCAACTTGGAGCTGTGACAAGTCAAGGAGAAAGGCCAGTGGTAGGGGGCAGAGGGTGATTTCACTTTACTCAATGCTCAGTGCGTCATGAGTTGGCTGCTCCTTGGCTTCTAATTTGTTACTAGGCGGCATTGCCAAGGGCAAACTCAGGGTGCACCTGGGAGGCAGAGAGCCCAGGCTCTGAATTCCCACCACCAGCCTTACTAGCTGTGCAACCTTGGACAAGTAACTTCCTCTCTTTGAGCCTCAGACCCCTTGTCTGTAAAGAGAATGGTCTTTAGAAAGATTCACTTGTATGGCCGGATGCGATGGCTCACACCTGTAACCCTAGCACTTTGGGAAGCTGAGGCGGGCGGATTGCTTGAGGTCAGGAGTTCGAAACCAGCCTGAGCAAGAGCGAGACCCTGTCTCTACTATAAATAGAAAGAAATTAATTGGCCAACTAATATATATAGAAAAAATTAACCGGGCATGGTGGCGCATGCCTGTAGTCCCAGCTACTCAGGAGGCTGAGGCAGCAGGATTGCTTGAGGCCAGGAGTTTGAGGTTGCTGTGAGCTAGGCTGACGCCACGGCACTCACTCTAGCCTGGGCAACAAAGCGAGACTCTGTCTCGAAAAAAAAAAAAAAACAAGATTCACTTGCAAACGGTGAACAAAGAGCTTTGCGCAGTGCCTGGCCCAGAGGAGGTGCTCCTGAAATAGCTGATAAAGAGGCAGACAGCAGGCCTCCTGGTGGGTCATGACGTGGTAAGGCCATACTCTAGGAGCTGGGGGTCCCAAGAGAATGAGACAGGAAGCTCTCAGCTCTCCTGGGGCTTAATTAGATAATAAGGAAACAAATAGATGCTGATTTAAAGAGTGACAGGTGCTGTGCAGAAACCAAAACCAGGGGATGTGATAGTGCCTGGATGCTGGGGTATGGGGACATCTGCCCTCAGTGGTGACAATGACCCCTGACTTTAGGTATCCAAAGGACATGCAGGCAGCAGAAGGGTAAAGTGATCTATGTATAACCCAAAGGAAGACCATAAACAACTGTCACATCCTGAGTGCGGGCCAAGCAGGGAAGAAACCACCTTGGGCAATGGGGAGTTCCTCATTGGTACCAACCAGCTGCCAAGGAGGCTGAGGAAGGTGCTCTGGCACCTGGAGGAAGCGCTCAGGGCATTAGATCACGCAGCCTTTGGAGTTCAGGCTAGCCCTATAATTTAGTGATCTTTATTTATTTATCTTTTTTGAGACAGAGTCTCACTCTGTTGCCCAGGCTAGAGTGCTGTGACGTCAGCCTAGCTCAAACTCCTGGACTCAAGCGATCCTCCTGCCTCAGCCTCCAGAGTAGCTGGCATGCACTACAGGCATGCACCACCATGCCCAGCTAATTTTTTCTATATATTTTTTAGTTGGCCAATTAATTTATTTCTATTTTTAGTAGAGATGGGGTCTCGCTCTTGCTCAGGGTGGTTTTGAACTCCTGACCTTGAGCGATCCTCCCGCCTTGGCCTTCCAGGGTGCTAGGATTACAGGCGTGAATTTAATGATCTTTATGATTGCTGTTCATTTCTCCACTAAGTTTGTCTGCACCGGTTGATGCATTCTATACCGACTTACTAGCTATTTCCTGTGTGTCAGCGCTGTGTTGGGACAATGGGTAAAGCAAAGAGAAATACAAAGATGATATAGACCAGCGGCTGCAAACTGGTGACCAGCGTTGGCCCCACGCTCATGTTTTGCCTGACTGGCAGTATTGACCCTTACAGTGTTGTAAATTATGATGAGGGGCCAGTTTAAAATCAGGAGTTACCACATTAAAAAAAATCCAGATTTCTGGTTCCTCTTGGAAAAAGTCAGAAGTTCTGGCCATTATTGGAGCTGAGTGGAAGACACCCCCTTTTCAACAGGTCTTGCCTACTCAGGTCACACAGGTCCTCACCATTCTTTTCGTTCCCAGACATTCGCCAACTTACATTTGCCCCGTTTTACCCAATTACCTGGCCCCAATTGGCATTTGAATTTGTAGCCTCTGAATCAGACACTGTTCCTAAGTCTTTCACAATCAAATGACAATTTCCCTCACAAACAATCCCACTAGCTTGTGATGAATTAATACTTACTTTGTGCCAGGCTTTTTCATACAGAATCTCATTTAATGCTTACAACAACCCTAAAAAGTGAGTGTCCCTATGTCATAGGTGATGAGATTCCAAGAAACAAAGCAACTCACAGTCACCCAGCCTCTTAGAGGCAGGCTCAGATTCAAACTCAAGAGAATCTCCAATGCCAAGAGTTTTCCACTGGCCCAGAGGGCCTCTCTGTTCCTCATGGCCAGCTTAGTAAGTTTCCCAAGCATATGCCAGTGCTGGCAGGGACATGTGCTCTTCCGCTGATGGAGAATCCAGCCCACTGGACTGCTATGGACTGAAGGTCACTTAATACATTCGTGCCTGTTTTATGGATCAGCTGTGCATAAGTTTGACTAATATGAGCTAGTTCGTGAGGCCTGGTCATTCTGAGTCGTTGGATAAAACCCAACTTCTGAACCAAGAAGGGAGCCAGCCCAAGACGCCAAGACCTCTTGGTCCTGTATCTACGTTAATAGATAACGACAGAAGAGGTCTTTGGCATCGACCCATCCACTTTTATAGAGAAGTAAAGGGAGGCATGGGACGGGACAGGGAGAAGGTATTCGGTAAGCCAGTGACAGAGCTGGGCTTAGAAGCCACAGAAAATTCCATTTTCCAATGTTTGGTATGCACAGCATGTGGGTACTCAAGATGGGTTTAGGCGGTACATGAAACAGTTTTTGAGGTTTCACAATTATTAGTTATTTGAATGAGTATTAAAAATATACATATAAATGTAAATGTGTATTACTATGTATTAGAAACATATATATGAATTTTGTATGATGTGTGTGTGGGGAGTAACAGCAAACCCAAAATTCCATGGATATTACACTTTAAGGTTAATTTTTTTAAAAAGTAGGTTGATTACAAAGGAATTATTTGCCAGGTGCAGTGGCTCACGCCTATAATCCCAACACTCTGGGAGGCCGAGGCAGGATGATAGCTTGAGATCAGGTGTTTGAGACCAGCCTGAGCAAGAGTGAAACCCTGTCTCTGCTAAAAATAGAAGAAATCAGCCTGGCACGGTGATGTACACCTGAAGTCCCAGCTACTCGGGAGGCTGAGGCAGGAGGATTGTTTGAGCCCAGCAGTTGGAGGTTGCTGTGAGCTATGATGACACCACTGCACTCTAGCCCAGGCAACAGAGTGAGACTTTGTCTCAAAAAAAAACAAAAAAGGAATTATTAAGTAAATAACAGTACCTATGGCACACAGATATGTAAGATCATGACAGTGGACTGCAAATGACTAGATCTGGGAATCACTGGAAAACAGGGTCATGGTGAAGCATGCACCTCTGGAGTCTGACAGAGCCAGGTTCAAATCCTGACTACTCACTGTGCTGCTGGACACAGGACACACTCACAGAATTATCCCATTTTCTTTGTCTCCCTGGTCAGTGTTCTTTTCCTAACCTCCTGATGTTTCACCTTCCTACCACTGACACGGTCACGTTCATCAAAGACACCTAAGGATTGCGCTCTAGGTGGGGTCTCGTCTATGGCTGGACTCCCCTAGGAGAACCCTTAGCTGTCGGAGATACGGGACATGTACATCATTCCGAGGACTAGCAGAAAGGTCTCGGTGTCATATCTGAAGTTGAATCCTTACTCTGCTCCTTATTTATTAGCTGTGTGACCTTGGGCAAGTCACTTAGCATCTCTGAGCTTCAGATTTCTCTTCTGTAAAATGGAGGTAATAATAATAATACCTGTCGCACGGATTTGTAGTGAGGACTAAAGATCTAACTAACAAATAGTAAATGCTTAAAGAACTCGAGACACTGTTTTATTATTTGTATGACAAATAATAGTAGTGCATAACAAATATTTGCATGACAAATAATAGTAGTGCAGAATCTAGGCCCTTGCCTAGATTCTGAGTCATGGAGCCCCCTTTAGCTGACCCCCCTATATAGGTGCATCGGTTACCCACCCCAGAGTATAGGGTGCAGAAGTCACCCACACAGTGGGTGTGGCCAGGGAGCCCCAAGGCTGGTACTAACGAATACCTCAATAATGATCCCAGCACATTTGTTGAGTATTTTAAGTATTTGTTAAATGGCATCATTCAATCTTTACATCAGTGCTGTATGGCAGGAGGGGTGGCAATTGTTCACTCCATTTTACAGACTTGGAAAGAGATGAAGATCTGGAGGGGCTAAGTGACTTGCCTAAGGTCACACAGCAAATGATGGCAAGGCTGCGTCCAGAACATAGTAATACTCCCACCCGTGGCCTGAAATTCTGTCTGCTTGCTTTCATTTCATTTTCACAACAGCCCCATGAGATGGGGATTACTGGTCCCATTTTACATACAAGGCAACTGAGACATCAAGAAAGTCAGTAACTAGCTCAAATCAGCCAACCAGCACATAGCAGAGGCTGCCTGCCTCTTTCTTGGTCTTAATAAGATTCCTGGTCTTATTCTGTGTCCTTGGGACACTGTAGAGGGAGTCTGAGACCCACGATGAATGATGCTCCAAGAAGCAGAAAGTGGGCACTTCCAGTGAGGCGGCAAGACTGAGGCAGAACAGGGAATAGCATCCCCAGTCAGCCTAACGGCCTCAGGGATTTAGGCTGGAGTACCTTGAAGGGAAGAGAGGTGGAAGGGAAAGAGGCATGCTCTCTACCTGCTTTCCAAGAATGGACAAATACGTTCTGGAAAATGAGAGGGGTTCACTTTGGTCACCTCTACTAATTTCAAACAGCCAGATTTAGAAGCACTCCTATTTCTGGGCAACTCCAAACACCAGGTAGATATTTCAAAGCACATATAAAAATTAATTCAAAATGGATCAAGGATCTAACTGTCAAAACGAAAACTATAAAACTCTAGGAAAACACAGGTGTAAATCTTTGTGACTTTGGATTAAACAATGGTGCCTCAAACATGACACCAAAACACAAGTGGCAAAAGAAAAAATAAATTGGATTTCATCAATAGTTACAATTGTTGTATACCAAAGGACACCATGAAGAAAGTGAAAAGACAACCCACAATGGTAGAAAAATTTTGCAAATCATATATTTGATAAGGGTCTTGTATCTAGAATATAAAGAACTCCTACAATTTACTAATAAATAATCCAGTTTAAAAGGAATAAACATGTCTCCAGAGATATACCAATGGCTAATAAGCAAATGAAAAGATGCTCAATCTTATTAGCCATTGGAGAAATGCAAATCAAAACCACAAAGAGATACGACTTTACATCTACTAGAACAGTGGTTCCCCAACTTTTTTGGCAGCCAGGGACTGGTTTCATGGAAGACAATTTTTCTAAGGACCAAGGTGAATGGTGTCTTGGTTTTCGGGAAGGTGGTATGGGGCTCAGGCGGTGATACATAGCCCTGTTTCCTAATAGGCCACAAACCTGTACTCGCCACAGACCAAGGGTTGGGGACTGCAGCACTATAGCATGGCTATAATAAAAAAGATGAGCAATAACAAATGTTGAGGATGTAGAAAAAATAGAACCCTCATACACTGCTGATAGTAATGTAACATGGTGTAGCAACTTTGGAAACCAAAATGTTAAACATAGTTAACCCGTAGGACCCAGCAAGTCCACTCCTAGACATATACCTAAGAAACATGAAAACATATGTCCACATAGAAACTTGTACACAAATGCTCATAGCACCATTATTCATAAGAGCCAAAAAGTAGAAACAACTCACATGTCCATCAACTGACATATGGATACATAAAATGTGGTTGATCCATGCAATGGAGTACTATTCTCCAATAAAAGAAAATGAGTGCTGATATATGCTACAAGGGTAAACCTTGAAAATGTTATACTAAGTGGAAGAAGCCAATCCCAAAGGCCACATATTATAAAATTCCATTTCCATTCTGAAACCTTCAGAATAGGTAAATCTAACTTAGGTTTGCCATGGGCAAACCTATGACAGAGAGTAGGTAAGTGGTTGTCTAGTGCTTGGGGGTAGAAAGAGGTATGAGAGGAGTGGGTACTGCTAATGGGTACAGAGTTACTTTTGGGGGTTAAGAAAATGTTCTACAATTGACCGGTGATGGTTGCACAACTCTGAATATCCTAAAAACCGTTAAACTGCATACTTTAAATGGGTAACTGATAAGGTATGTGAATTTTATCTCAATAAAGCTGTTTTACATATTTTTTAAAGGCATCGGTGGAGGTATGGGCCTTCAGAAAGGAAGCAGGAGTTTCGGGGGTGATGGAAATGTTCTAAATATTGATTGTGTGCTGGTTACTGAGGTGTATCAATTTGTCAGAACTCTTCAAAATGTATGATGTAAATGAATCTTCCATAAAGTTGATTTAAAAGACATCACCACCACAGGTGAAGAAGGCAGGAAGAAGCTACCAGATGGGCAGTGGCAGGTATCAAGGCCACTAAGCAGCAAAGGGCAGGAAGGTTCTCTCCAGTCTGGAGGGTAAACTCAGAGGAGACTTAAGATAGCTTGTGGGTCCCCTAGTAACTGACTACTTGGTTCTCACAGCCACCCTGGAATGCCCATCATTTCATTTCAGGCCTCCTCCTCTGACCGCCCCTCCACCCCATGCCTTCCCAGGCCAGCTGCCGACTCCACCAAGTCACCATCCCTAGGTATCACCTGCTGTTCTTTATAACATTGGCTGGGGTAAGGCAGCCCCCAGGGTGGACTGACTGGCTGCTGTTCTGTTCTGAGTAGATGTTAAGATCTCCCCACCTCAGCTGGCCAGGTGTGGTGGCTCACGCCTGTAATCCTAGCTCTCTGGGAGGTCGAGGTGGGTGGATTGCTTGAGGTCAGGAGTTCAAAACCAGCCTGAGCAAGAGCGAGACCCCGTCTCTACTATAAATAGAAAGAAATTAATTGGCCAACTAATATATATAGAAAAAATTAGCCGGGCATGGTGGTGCATGCCTGTAGTCCCAGCTACTTGGGAGGCTGAGGCAGGAGGATGGCTTGAGCCCAGGAGTTTGAGGTTGCTGTGAGCTAGGCTGACGCCATGGCACTCACTCTAGCCTAGACAACAAAGTGAGACTTTGTCTCAAAAAAAAAAAAAAAAAAAGATCTCCCCACCTCCAGCCCCAAGGGATGGGTTTTCTTCCACAGCCACAGCAAGTGCTGTGAGGCGGAGTTGAGCTGAGGAGCCAGGAGAAGCCAGAAGGACACCAGCATTTATGAAGCCCTGTGGACTCTCACAGCACGCCCACAGGATAGAAATTATTATTATTCCCATTCTGCAGACCAGCCAACTGAAGCTCAGTGTGGAAGGAACTCACCCATGTCACCAGCTGGTAAAAGTGATAGAAGCTGGGATTCAAATGCAAAGGCAAGCTGGCCTTCTGTCCAAGCCTGCTCCACAGCACAGAGGGTGGGGAAGGGGGTAACGAGGAAGGCAGGAAGGTGGGGAGCCAAACTCCACATCCATGCAGCTGCTTGGGCTGAGCTTGTCGGCACAGCACACTCCTTCCCAGAAAAGGAAGATACATATCAGACTCAAGTCCCACACGTGGGGAGGAGTGACTTCCTGCCCTGAGGCAGCTGCAGATAGCCCAGTGGCTGCCGTTATTCCTCTCAAAGAGTGTTAGAATTTCCACTCCCTGTTCTGGGCCATCACAAGAGGACAAAGTGATTGAAATGAAGAGAAAACCCCTACACACACACACACACACACACACACTCACAATGCCTGTCCTAGGCATATGTGAAATAAGGCAATTTTGTGCAATGAGTCATTTGAAAACTTGGGGGTCCAAGGTTCTGAAAAGGGGAGAATGCTGGCCCTTTACATTCAAACCTCACCTGGGGCAGCACTCTTTTGCCTCATTTCGCCTTACAATAGCCCTACTAAGAAATTCCTCACCCAGCGAGGTGCAGCACTTCTGCCCCACAGAACTTGAGACCTGAGGCTCTCAGAGGTTTAGGGCTCTGCCATTAGTCCCAAGACCTGGATCCCAGCAGGATACCTAGCATGCAGTCACAAATGGATTAGATAAAGGAGGTAGAACGGGCAGAATGCCACCAGTCCTCCCAATGAAGTTTGCAGAGGCCAACAAGTGAGGCTGTCCAGCTCCCAGCCCAGTGCTCGGTCTTGAGCAGCGCTGCTTTCTGTCCATCGAGCCACCTGTCCATTTCTGGCTTCCACCAACCCCCTCCGCCGTCCCTCCCCTAGCCCACCTGGCCTGTTCTCAGGCTTACCTGTGCACAGGCTGGAATAGAAGCCCTCCTTCTTGAGCATGATCAGCAGGGAGCCCCAGCCCAGAAGCACAGCGGAGAAGAAGAGGTTCTCCAGCGCGGCCGTGCAGGCCATCCACCAGCGCCTCCGGTACGCCTGCTGCAGCGTGGGGGCCATGCTGGCCGTGAGCCTGCCCAGAAACACAACGCTGAGCGAAGGGCCCCCCAGCGGCCCCTGGGAGGGGTCCTGCATCTTGGTGGCTCCTGAGATCCCCCGGGCCAACCCGCGAAGGGGCCTTCATGGAGACCCCGTGGAGCCCTGAGCTTTCCAGTCGGTGCCACCGAGCTAGCTCCGCGGGCACTAGCAGTGCTAGGGGCGCACGCGGCGCTGGGCTCCCGCCGGGCCACTATCGGAAACAAGGAAAGTCCTGTCTGCGCGCTGCAGCTTCCTGGCGCGCTGCCGGGCTCTCCCACCCAGGCCAGGGCGCGCAGAACCAGGCTCCGGGGGGCCAAAAATGCACTCCTCCAAGTCCCTAGAGGTCAGCTAGGGGCAGAGTGCGCTCTGAAGCACCGCTGGCCCACGTCTGGCCTCTAGCGCCAGGAGGGACCCCCAGAACCAGGCAGGAGGAAGAAGGGGAAGTTAAGGCTGCCTAAGACACCCCGTTTCTCGTTGCCCCTCTAAGACCACTCCTTCCCTCTGGGGCCGGGCTAGAGCAGGCCCTCCCCCTTTCCACACCGGGCGACCCAAGTTCAGATAGTCTCGCGGGCCAAACCAACAGCTGCCACGTGGAGGGAGGAGACCCGCCCGCGCGCGGCCCACTCACTCCGCGGGGCGCAGGACACCACGCTGCGCCCCGGGGGGGACCGCCTGGCCCCTCTGGCCCCGGGAGGGGCTCGGACTTGGGCAGGAAGTCCGGCCGCTGCTGACTTTATAAGGGCAGTGGCTGCGGCTGGGCTGGCGGGCGGGCGTGTTTACCAGAGGGAGGGAAGCAGCCCCAGCCACCCCCGCCGCGGCCGCCACCGCGGGAGGAGACGGGACGCGGGCGGCGCGGGGGCGGGGAGCAACAAGCAGGGCGAGACGAGCAGAAGGACCGGGAAGGGCAAAAAGGAAAGACCAAGAGCGAGGGGAGGAAAGCACGAGTCACTTCTCCCAGGGGGCCTCAGTACCCCCGTCTGTGAAATGGGGCTTTGGGATCGGGCGCTCCGGAGGACCGTTCGAACTCTAAACAAGAGGGTTGCTCTAAGCAGAGGAAGTGCAGCAAAGGGGGCCTGAGAGGAAGGGAAGAGTAGGAGGGGCTGGAGGAAAGAAGGGGGCGGCGAGGACGAGGGGCAGGACACTTTGCTGCGGGACTCGCGGGCTCAGGTAACGGGCTTTCCCCGGGGAGCCTGGGAGCGGCGGCAGGGGCCGGCCGGGGTGGCTCTCAGCTACGCTCAACCGGGATCCCCCCGCCACCAGTTGCTCACCTCGGGTCGGGGGCAAACGAGCCTCCTGCAGCTGCGGGCGCCTGGGCGAGCGCTGCGCCTCCGCGGCGCGTCCACACTGGGCGTCCGGGGTCCGGCGGGCCAGCCCTGAGCCTCACCCGCGCTGGGGTCTCCTCCGCATGCCGGGTCCCGGCGGCCTCGGAGCCTGGGCGCGACGGCCGGGTGGTCTGCCCTCCTCTGCCCGGTCAGAAGTCGGGAACTAGGAATCCGCCCGACGCGCGGGTCCAGCAAGCGGGGCGCGGACGAAGCGGATCTCCCGAGCTGATGGTTGTATTTACACGCGTCCGGAGCTGCGACCCGAGGTGGGGGCGGGGGCTCCCTTCCCTTCCCCTCCCCCTAGGTCGAGTTTCACACGCACGTGACTCGCCCGCTGGTCCCCTGACATTTTCCCTCTGACACGCGCCCCAGCGCCTAATTTCCGCCCCGGACCCCCACATTCGCCCTCCGCCCCCTCTAACGTCAGGCAGAGCCCTCTGTACCACGGTCAAAACAAAGAACGGCTCGGCTGGAGGAGACCGACCGCGACGCAGGGCAGCCTTGGGTGGGGTTTTGAACTGTACAGTTGGGTGTAGTGTTTTCAGAGAAGCAGAATGACACGGTTTTCTTGGAGTCAGTCAGACTGAGGTCTGAGTCTCAACTTGGAAACATACTAGCCTGGGTTACTTTGGGCAAGTTCCTTAACCTCTCTGTGCTCAGTTTTCTCCCGGTAAACGATGGAACCTACTACGTGCCCCGAAGGAATTACAGATTGTCGTGCAGGTAAAATGCTGAGTACAGCATTTGGCATAGTAACCATAATAAATGTCAATTATTGTTGCTGTCACTATTTCAGAAGATGTGGTGATCAGTTGCTTCCAGACCCTTACTAATCGGTTGATTCCATGTAATAATCTCAGCCTTCCTGAGCCTTAGTTTCCTCATCTGTGAAATAGAGGGAAGGTGTCCCTGCTTGGACTACTGTGGTGGGGATTAATGAGGCGTGATCTCATTGCCTGTGAGTTTAATACAGTGTGTTGAGATACCCACAGAGCTCTTTGAGAACGTGAGCGACGGCACAGAAAGCTCCAAGGCACCCCTGAACAGTTGAGCCACCAAGCCAAGAGAAGAACTAACATTTGCTGAGTGGCTACTACATGCTGGGCACTTACCCCCCCCCCCAAAAAAAAATACTGTTATTAAATCCGCAAGACATCATGGTCTTATTTAAAGCTCACGATTTTTCACAGAGGGAGAAAACTAGGCTTGCAACTGAAACATGGTGGTTGGACGTTGCAACGTCAGGTTGCAAAGACAGGTCTGTCTGGCTTTTAAGTATTGCACTTTCCATTCGTCAAGGCTGGGTAACAGCAAGAGCAAAGGCTTAGCAGTGGGAAAGACAGGAGAGTTCTTGCTGGCAAAAGCACATGTCAGGCTCTGAGGATTTCACTTCTTAAAATGCAGTAGTGGCTCCCAGAAGCCAGATCAAAGCCAAACTCCTTAACTCAGCACAGGGATCCTAAAGGTCCTAACCCAAGAGGGTCATGGATCCCTTTGAGAATACAAAAGATGTTATTAATTCACTGACTATGGACATGCTCGTGCGAAAATACACACATGTTGGCCCGGCTCGGTGGCTCATGCCTGTAATCCTAGCACTCTGGGAGGCCGAGGTGGGCGGATTGCTCAAGGTCAGGAGTTCGAAACCAGCCTGAGCAAGAGCGAGACTCCGTCTCTACTAAAAATAGAAAGAAATTAATTGGCCAACTAAAAATACATAGAAAAAATTAGCTGGGCATGGTGGTGCATGCCTGTAGTCCCAGCTACTCAGGAGGCTGAGGCAGCAGGATCACTTGAGCCCAGGAGTTTGAGGTTGCTGTGAGCTAGGCTGATGCCACGGCGCTCTAACCGGGGCTACAAAGTGAGACTCTGCCTTAAAAAGAAAGAAAATACACACATGTTTACATTCAAATTTCAGGGTTTTCATGTACCCTCTCTATGAAACTCTAGCAGTCCATGGACCCCCTGCACCCATAGCTGGGACACTTCCTCATCCTAACCTGCATTTCCATGTTTTCCTCTTCATGCACTGTCAGCTCCAGGAGGGCAGAGGCCTCGGCTGGCATGTTTATTCACTGCTGTCTCTCAGCATGGAGAGCAGCACCTGGCACCTAGTGGGCCCTCAGAAAGCAAATGTGCGATGAAGAGCTGGTTTCACACCTCCCTGCATTTGCCCCTGCTGTCCCTTCCTGTGGGAATGACAGATCCCCCGTTCATGTCTAGTGTACTCATCCTCACAACTCTGCTCACGTTCTGCCTCTCTCTGGAAGCTGTCTCTGATCTCCTAGGCTGGGTTAAAGGCCTTGCCCATGTTTCTTTCTTCCCCCCCCAACACTGAGCTAACCTCTATTGAGGCCCCCACACTGATCCAGAATTATCAGCTTAGTTCCCTGCACTGCCCCCGCCCCCCGAGATATAAATCTCTTGGGGGCAGGAACCAATACATGGTAGGTAATTCGTATGCCCATCACAAGACTTGGCATGCAACAAGCCCGTGGCAAACATTTGTTGAATAAATGAAAAGAGTAATGGGAAATGAAGCCGAAAAGGTAGGCTAGGGTAGTCGGTTTGGAAGGACCTCTGTGAGGACAAGGACTTCCGATGTTGTGAGGTAGGTGATAGGAACCTCCTGGATCTTTCTTCTCCCCTCCCCTCCCCCCACCCCCTCCCTTCCCCTCTCCTTCCCTCCTTTCTTTCTTCTCTTTTTTTTTGAGACAGAGTCTCACTCTGTTGCCCAGGCTAGAGTGGTGTGCAGCCTAGCTCACAGCAACCTCAAACTCCTGGGCTCAAGCAATCCTTCTGCCTCAGCCTTCTGAGTAGCTGGGACTACAGGCATGCGTCACCATGCCCGCTAATTTTTTCTATATATATAGTTAGCCAATTAATTTCTTTCTATTTATAGTAGAGACAGGGTCTCGCTCTGGCTCAGGCTGGTTTCCAACTCCTGACCTCAAGCAATCCGCCCACCTCGGCCTCCCAGAGTGCTAGGATTACAGGCGTGGCCACCTCACTGGGCCTCTTCTTTTCTTTCTTTTCTTTTCTTTTTCTTTCTTTTCTTTTCTTTTCTTTTCTTTTCTTTTTCTTTCTTTTCTTTCTTTTCTTTCTTTTCTTTCTTCTTTCTTTCTTCTTTCCCTTACTCTGTTGCCCAGGCTTCTGCTGCCTTGAACTCCTGACTCAAGCAGTCCTCCCTGTCTCAAGCCTCCCAAGGAGCTGGGACTACAGGCACAAGTCACCACTCCCAGCCAAATTTTTTTTTTCTGTTTTCTGTATAGATAGGGTCTCGAACTCTGGCCTTAAGCAGCATCCTCCCTCCAGCATCCCAAATGCTGGGATTATAGGCTCCTGGCCACAATGCTTTTTTTTTTTTGAAACAGAGTCTCCCTCTGTCACCCAGGCTAGAGTGCTATGGCGTCAGCCTAGCCTCACAGAAACCCTCAAACTCCTGAGCTCGAAGCAATCCTCCTCCTCCCAGCCTCCTGAGTACGGCTGGGCCTATAGTAATTTCTTAATGTAATGTAATGCACTACTCAAATTTCCCCCAATTTCTCAAAAATGTCTTTTTGGGCCTGTACCTGTAATCTTAGCTATT